GGTAGTCCTTAACGTTAAAGGTTGAAGCACACAATTGGTATAACACGCCTTTCTCGCTTGTATTCTACTTTGGCTCTGTCTAATCTGGTCCATGATATTCACAAGAGCTCTTCTCACCTGCCAAATGTATTTATATGAATGAATACCGACAATAAAAATATATATAAATGCATTTAACCCAAGAGAGAAAAAATGGGAACACAAATGACTCCTTCAAGACATGTCAAATACCAATACAAGATTTTCATGTGTAAGCAGTATAAAATATTCTTTTCAACGGTGACAATTTCATTTGGATTATCTTTGAAGAAAGAGATGTAAATTCTTATTTGCTTTTATAGCTTTTAAAGGTATTTGGTTGAAGAGATTTTATTTTATCGGAAAAAAAAATTCCAGAAATATAGTGGAAAAAAGTTTTTCAGATAAATTACGAAAAGTGTTTAGTAGATCCAAATTTTTTTCGGAAATGTTCGGTTAATTATACTAATTATCTAGAAAAATAAAAATACCATGTATCGTATGGTATTTTTATTTGAGATTCTGTAGTTAAAATTAAAATGATTGGAAAAAAAAAATCCAAAAATATTTTCAATTTCTTCATACACCAGATGTTGGAAAAAAATTTACCCCACTTTATTTTTCCAGAATTTCTAAAACAATCTTCATTCCAAACAGCCGCTAAGGCTTTTAAGTCTTTAATATATCGATGAGAATAGATGGCATGAAAGCATTTACCTGCCGCCATAAAGCGAGCAGAAAAAGGCCCTGCATTTCAATGAAACTTCCTATAAACCCCTTTCACTGATATGTTTAATTCCAGGTTTTTTTTTTTTATGTTTTGCATTATGTGTATAAGTTGTGATCTTAAGTTAAGGATCCCATGTTGCAGGTAAAAGCAAAATCAAGAATAGTCTAAATTTTGGTAAGAGATTGCGAGTTGCAATGGTTTCAGCCAAAGGCATATTACATGAGCATATACTAAGGCTAACCCTTCTTCTAAATTTCATAGACATATTAAAATTAAGAATAATGTACCTTTTGGTCCTCAACTAATATTATGGGGTTCAATTTAATTTTTTAAGAAAAAAAAATTGACTTATGATCTCTCTAAAATTTAAAATAGATTCATATTAATCCTTTTAAGGGTGTTAAGAACCTTGGGATATACCACCCCAAAAGCTAGCTCAAGGGGTAGGAGAGCCCAAAGCTTTTGAGGTGGTGTATCCCAAGATTCTTTACATTAAAATAAAAAAAAAAAGCACAAAAAGGTAAACCAAAAATGGGTCTGTGCAATTTCCACCCTTCTAGCCTAAAGGGCTCTTGCGTGAGGGGACGTGTTAGATATATAGTCCCACATTGATTGGATGAGCAACTAATATGACCTTTATAAGGCCTTGGGCACTCCCACCCCTTGAGCTAGTTTTTGAGGCGGTGACCTCAAGGTTCTTAATAAAGGGATTAAGAGAGATTACAATTTAGAGGCCACGAGTCCTTTTTTTTTTTCCTCCAAGGAATTAAAATGTACCGGTAATCTGTGACATACTTCTCGACTCCAAGTTTACTGCAAAAATAACTGAATTTGGACTCTTACGGCTTCCTAGGTGATGGCACGAAAGCAACATAATTGCTCCCTTTCTTCATTGCAGTGCATAAATCGAACCCACCTCCTAAATAGCTCAACTCAAATTCTGCACAATGTCCCACTCGGTTATGCAATTAATTTCCCTTGTAGTTTTTAGATGCTTTTGAGTACTTTAAAAGGATTCTTTTCATTGTATCAAAAAACATAAATTGATTCTTTTCATTTTCATTTCCATTCCTTCTGTTAGCACTCTTAGGATGTGCATGACAATCATTCTATTCTCTAGCACTATTTTTGAAAAGAAACAATTCTTTTCTATTTCTGTTTCTTGAAATAGTTTCTGAGAAAAAAAATGTGTTTGATAACATCTTCAATTTTTATTTCGAGAATGAGAATTGTGTTTGATAACACAACAAATAATATAATAAAAATGATTCCTATTAAATATAAAAAAAATTGGATCATCGCTTTCCTTTCCATATGGTGTGGTTGTGGTGGTGACGGCGGCGGAGGGTGGCATGGTGGTAGTGGCGGTGGTGGTGGTAGTGACGTGGAGATGATAATGGTGCTAGTTGTGATGACAGTGACTGCGGCGATGCGCTGGTAGTGGGGGGATGGTGGTGGTGGAGATGACGGCAGTGGCTGCGACAATGGTGGTGGGGATGGTGGTTGGTGGCATTGGTGGCGGCGACAATGGTAGCGGTGGTATGGTGGTGGTGGTGGCAGTGGCAGTGACTACGACGGTGGAGGTGGTGGTAGGTGACAGTGGTGGTGGTGGTGGTAGTGACGCGGTGGTGTATTGATGACGATGGTGGTGGTGGTGGTGATAGCAGTGGCTGTGACGATGGTGGTGGTGGTTGGTGGCGGCGGGGGCGGCAGTTTCGGTGGTGGTTGCAGCAATGATAGTGGTGGTTGGCGACAGTGGTGGTGATGGTAGCGATGGTGTTGTGGTGGTGGAAGTGACAGCAGTGGCTGCGAGAATAGTGGTTGGTGACATTGGTGGCGGCAACAATGGTAGCGGTGGCATGGTGGTGGTAGTTGTGATGGCATCATGGAGATGGTGGTGGTTGCAGTGACTGCGACAGTGGTGGTGGCAGCGGGGTTGTGGTAGTGACAGGGGTGGTGTAATGGTGGTGATGGTTGGTGGCGGCGACAGTGTCGATGGTGGCTGCAACAATGATAGTGGTGGTTGTGACAGTGGTCGTGATGGTAGCGGTGGCGTTGTGGTGGTGGCAGTGACAGCAGTGGCTACGACAATGGTGGTTGGTGACATTGGTGGCGGCGACAATGGTAGCGGTGCCATGGTGGTGGTGGTTATGATGGCATCATGGAGATGGTGGTGGTGGTGGCAGTGGTTGCGGTGGTGGTGGTGGTAGCTGACAGTGGTGGTGGTAGTGGCGAGGTGGTGTAATGGTGGCGATGGTTGTGGCGACGGCGACGGCGGTGTCGATGGTGGCTGCAACAATGATAGTGGTGGTTGGTAACCGTGGTGGTGATGGTAGCGGTGGCGGTGGTGGTGGTGGTGGTGGCAGTGGCGTGGTGATGGCGATGGTGGCGGTGGCGGTAGTGGTTGCGATAGTGGTGGTGGTGGTTGATGGTGGTAGTGATGGTGGTGGTGGTGGTGGTTGCAACAGTGGTAGTTGTGGTAGTGGTGATGATGGCATGGTGGTAGTGATGGGTGGCGGTGGTGGTGATGGTGGCAGTGGTCGTGTTGGGATGATGGTGGTGGTGGTGATGATGGTTCAGATGAAGAGTGATTAAGAGATATAAGTGTTTCTCATTTTGTGCCCGGAAACAAAAAAGCAGAAATTTCCTGATTCTTTTTTCTATTCCCCAGCACAAACATTAATCTGGTTCATTCCGAGAACAAAAAAATAAACCGGTTTTACCAAACGAGTTTTCTATCCATTTCTGTTCTCAGGAACAGAAATTAAGAAAAAAATTGATTGCAGAAAGGTTGTCATGCGCACCCTTAATATATTCTTATGGGTGAAGCAATTTTTGATATAATCGTTGGAAAAAATATTTTTGTTTTTGTTACAAAAAAAATTTCTCTGACATACTCACATAAAAATTAGTGGGTTCCATTAATTTTTTCTCTCTTTTCTCTATATAATATCATCTTCTCACTTTGATGTAAGTATGGCCGGAAAAAAAACATTTGTTGTAGTAAAAGCAAAAATGTTAAACTCATTGCTGTTTTATTTTATTGATTCCCATTATTGGACACTTATAACATTAATTTTCAAAACATGATATATTTTTAATGTTGGGCAGTTAGTTTGAGAATAAATCAACTACTTAACATTAAATTTTATTTTATTGGTTGAGAAGTTTTTTTTTTTATAAGCTAATGATTAAGAAGTTGGTTTTTCATAGAGTGACTTGACAAATATTTTTTTTTTTAAATGTAATGTTGAAAATTCAATTTCTTATAAACTAACATTTAAGCTATAATGAAGGCATAACATTAAGAAGAAAGTTTTTTAAGAACCCACTGATCTCAATGTTTTGGGGAAAAAATAAAAACTTGATGTCCCATTTGTTGTAAATTAATTTATTAATATTAAAAAAAGACTAGCATATTTCAAAAATTAATTTTGCAGTTGTGGTATAATGAAAATTAAAAAAGAAATTTCACCAAAAAAGATATAAAAACTAAATGTGCACCATTGACATAAAACCACCCCTACTACATATTTTGTTTCTTTAGATAAAGTAAAGTAATTAACATGCAAAATGTACAATAAAATCAAACATTATCCATTGAATAAAGTTAGAAATTAATTTAAATATAGTGCAGAAATATTTTATACTTGTATTTAATATATATATATATATATATATATATATATGTGTGTGTGTGTGTGGGATTATAAATAACATAGAATTATTTTATTTTAGTCAAAACTACAGTATTTTATGGTGAGATAAATAGCGCAATATAAATCATACTAGGAGAAGCTGAAACAAAAATTAATTTAAATATTAAATAAAAAATAATCATTTTAACTAAAATGACTGTATTTTAAAAGGAAAAATATTTTTTCCTATATATTATTTTAACATTTATTAAACATAGCATCTCGCCTAATTATTAACATAATCAAATGTATTAATTAAAGTATTAATATAAATTGAATATTAACGTAAAGAATATATAAACAGAAGTTACAATACATTATAATGACATTTTATACACAAAGTATTGCATACAACATAATCTGTCAGTTTATCTTGTTCAGTTATATCATGCTTCCCTAACCAACTTAATAGATTAGATAACTAAACTTTCTTCAGTTAATATTAATTTATTTTAAAAATTAATTACTTTTACAGTGAAATTAAAAAAAAAAAGAAAAAAAGGTTACAATATGTTCTGGAATATGCTCTTCCCCCACAAGTGACACAAGTCTCATCCTCATATATCCATAATGGATAAGAGGCAACCTTGAACCTTGTCTCTTGGTACGTTCCGCTAACATTGAGGCTCGCTATCTGAAATGGCGATTTCTCAGTTCACTTTTTCAGTCACAGTCTCAACTTCATCTTCAAAACTCTCACCTTTTCGTGCATTCGGAGCCTCAGCTTCTGAGTCAGTGCATTGCCAACACACACCCAGAAGGGAATTCTTGAAGGGTATTGCGTTGCATGTTCTTCCACTTGTTGTTTTGAGAGAGCCACCACCTCCTTCACAAGCTAGAGAAATTGAGGTTGGCTCCTTCCTTCCACCTTCCCAATTAGACCCTTCTTTCGTTCTCTTCAAAGCTTCTCCCAAGGACACTCCCGCCCTTCGAGCAGGTATATGTTGATTCTTCTTCTTCTTCTTTCCAAAAACTACAATTAAATTTTGCTCTTTTGGATACTGTTTTACCCCTAAGATCGAACCTTTCGTGGATTTGAAACTAAAGGGTTGGGTTGAAATTTTGAATGTTGAAATATATGGGTGAAGAGAGTGGTGATTGCATGGTTATATATGTAAAGAACCAATTCAACCCAAGCTTAAGCTGTTGGGTGAGGCTACATTAATAGTTTTATATATCTCAACACGCTTACTCACACAAGAGCCCATTGGGCTTGAAGGATGGAAGGACAAGTGAATTGCAATGTTGGGCTTCAAGTGGAAGGACAAGTGATGATTATGATATTCCCAACAACTTGAGTGATTTGATAGGCTTTAGGAAACTCTGATTTTGAAGCCTTTCCTGCTAACTATTTGGCGCATTTATTGATGAAGGGTAATGCTGGAGTCTAGGAAGTGATGATTTTGCTCCAATTGACTATCTTATTTGATCTAGAGGAACACTACCAACACACTCTTTTTTACACTCTTTAGGAAAATACTAGTGATCGATCTGAGAGGATCATGAATGTAGACCGTATAGTCGTAATTAATATGGGATGTACGCTCGTGGGAGTCTACGGAAGAGATGCCATTAAGAGGCTCAAGGCTGAAGGACGTGGACATATGCACAATGGCAACTAAGAGAGTAGGGTTCGGAAGATGTGTAGTGTACATGAGAGATTTAACCTGCTATTTATAGATGGAGTTATCCATAGGTGTGAGAGTTCGAGTGGGAGTCAAACTGTTGAGGGATAAGATGATAAATCTTATCTCTTAGTATCTGGGTTTTTAGTCTGTTACTAGGTTGTTATTAGTAGTCATGATGAGGGACCCATGGGTTGGATCCAGAACAACTAGCAACACATTATTTGGCACCCTACACTGTCTTTATTATTGGGTGAAATCTCACATTTGCTCCACTAATAGAGAGAGTATACTCAGGCTATTTAGTGATACCCACATGTGATTTCACCAAAAATAGAGAGTATGTTGAAATTTGATAAGAGAGTGGCAAACAGTGTGTTGCTAGCATTCCTCCTGTTTTGCACGCACTCTGAGTTACATCCCGTACTTGCTCAATAATTATGACAGTCAATTTTGGAGGTTTATGCCTCTCAAAAAGTCACATCACTGTCATTAGCATCTAAGTAAAAGTCATTATGTAAATTTAACTCTCATTTTCACTGATTCATATAGTCAATATTGGTTTATCCCTATGCATCTACATTGCACCGTTTTTGGTAGATGTTCAGTAAAATCTATGGCTTCTGATGAATTACCATTGCCATTATTATGCTTTTTCCATATATCGCAGCTAATTTAAAATTAAGAGATCAAACCATATCTCAGGCATTTTATCTCATCTATAGTTGTTCTTTCCAATTGATACGCTAGATTTAGTTCTTTGCAGGAAATGTGCAGCCATACCAGTTTATTCTCCCCCCAACTTGGAAACAGGCGCGTGTAGCAAACATATTATCTGGAAATTACTGTCAGCCAAAATGTGCAGAGCCCTGGGTGGAGGTTAAATTTGAAGATGAAAAACAGGGAAAAGTCCAGGTAGTTGCTTCACCTTTGATACGCCTTACCAACAAACCAAATGCATCAATTGAGGACATTGGGAGCCCAGAAAAAGTGATTGCTTCTCTTGGGCCATTTGTCACCGGAAGTACATATGATCCAGATGAACTCCTTGAGACTTCAGTTGAAAAGCTTGGTGATCAGACGGTATGTTTGCTTTCTGTAGCCTATGTTGTCTAAGCATTTATGTTCTTTCTTTTATTTTTACTCATTAGAAAATGATGAAACTGGATAAAGTACTGAAGTAACAAATATAATTGTCTTTTACTCTTTTCTACAGTGTCACAAAATCAATAGTATAAACTTGAGTTCCTATCCTTATGGCATAAGTTCTGCAGAGGGAACGAGAATGTTCTGGTTGAAGCATTTCACTGAGATATAGAAGAGGTTTATACACACACATGTACACAAGTTGCAACGAGAAATTTCAGAAAACTAAAGTATAAGAAACCTCTGGGAGTGATCATTTTAGAGTATGGGCTTTGTATCAGTAGCATTTGTCAATACTGAGTCATTCTTTTATGCCGCAATATGGTCGCTATAACTGTTTCATCCATATCCCTATTCATTAAATACAAAACACCCTGTGCATCCACCATAAAAAAAGAAGAAGCAATTAATAGAATATAAAACCAAGTTATTTGTCTACTGAAACTCACACCATAATATATAGTTTGTGTGGCATATTATTTAAAAAAATATATATACTTTTTCTATGTGGCTGGTTGAATATGGTTAACTATGGAAAGCAAGTGTGGAGCCCTACTTTCCTCTTGTTTTGGGGGCCACAGTGCTTCTTGAAAGCAAAATGTTCTATGCTGGTTGGCTAATATTAGTGACTAACATTACTGAAATGGTGTCTGCAGTACTACAAGTATGAGCTTGAAACTCCATATGCTCTTACGGGTTCACACAATCTTGCAAAAGCAACTGCAAAGGGAAACACTGTTGTTTTGTTTGTGGCTAGTGCCAATGACAAGCAGTGGCAAACTTCTCAGAAGACTCTAAAGGCCATCCTTGATTCCTTTGAAGTCTAGTTTTCTATAGAAGGTAAATAAGAAAACTTTACCTCCAGATGATTTCCTTCTAGTTTTTGTTCATACAAAATGACTGAGCAAGAGCTGTGTTGGCTCGGCCCCCATTTGAATTTTTTTTGTTTTGAGGTTATAATCATATTTTACATGTTTTAAGAGTCTGGCTTTTTTCTTTTTCTTTGTAAATTCCTAATTAAGTCAATAACTTGTTTTTTATTTTCTTAATTTATTTTATCTTTGTAACTAAAAGCTAAAAAATGAAGGTAAAAGAAGTAGAAGAAAATAAATATGTTTCTGTAGCTGATTCATTAACTTTATTTGTGTTTATCTTATATTTATTTGTTATATCATTCCACTGTGCAGACACAATCGCTTTGGCTACATGGTTTTCATTTTTCTGAAATCTATATCAACTGTCTTTTTAGATATAATCTTCATAATTATTCTTAATGTTTTTACTTTTCACCTATAATGAGCTCAACTTTTTTATTTCAAAACCTTAGTTCTTTTCAGTGCTCTATCTAGTAAGAGCCCAAAACCAAAACACGCGACACACTCTTTTATAAGGCCAATGTGTCTTGGCACGGAAAATATGCTACCAATTTTAGTGGCATGGCCATACTTTGTAGTTCAGTAAATTGCTTCAACCTTCCCTTTATCTACTTATTTTTTATACACCTCTTTTTCTGTTTTCTAAGAGGACTAGCGCTGGTAAGGTTGCAAAAATATAAAGGTAAAGTTGTATACAATTGTTATCACAAAAAAAAAAAAAAGTTGTATACAATTGACCTCCGCTTCTATCCTCACAAATTTGAAAAAGAGAGATTTGGGAAGGAAAATACCAGGGTGGTCCTGGGTCCTTGGTTTGTTTCTTGTTTATATTTTTAGTTGATTTTTTTTTTATAATTTCAAAAAAAAAAAATCACTCCCCACTAAACACGACTAACGAGTGTAGGATGGAGATAATCCTTGTACGCAGTCTTATCCTTGTATAATTGCAAAGAGATTGTTTCTTAGATTCGACTTCATGACCTTTCAAAAATGTCATTATTTTCACATGTTCTAGAGGAAATGGTTAAAACAGTATTTTGTTGTTTTTATCATTTCCTTTGCAAATTCTAGAAAGAAGATGAAAAATGGAAACAAGGTTGTATTTTTACAATTATTAATGGAAATATATTAACAGAAAAGAAAATGGTGAAAATAACAAAATCTCAATTTTACTATTCCCTTCATAATATAGCTTAGAAACAGGAAACAGTGTGAAAACTGTGGTATTTTTGTAATTATAAATAAAAACATATCAACTGAAAAATAAAAAAACAAACAAACCAAATGCCATTCTATATAGCCAAAATTCTTTTGATAGAATATTTGTGAGAATGAGCTAACATTATTATTGAGTCTCTTTTTTTTTTGTCTTTCATTATTAGAGTCTTCGATATGTGAGTGATTCCAACTATTCTTTTTCAACAATCACCTTGAATCGTAATAAATTCTGTTCAAGTTCTGTCAAATTTGTTGTCTGTGTAAGGTATTGAATACAGAAAGGTTGAATTTTCGCTCCATTTTTGTAGACCCATATAAATTTATGGTGTTTTCTGATATATATATATATATATATTCATGTCACTCAAATTGTGCCAAGCATTTTTTTAGCAGTATGTTCCTACAAGCTTCTAAATTCTCCAACAAGGTGAGGCAAGGTAAAATGCAACTAAATATGTGGTCTACGGCTAGCCCTGTGTCTGTAATTGATGTGTATGTACCTATATGTTCATTCGACATTGAGTGGGAATAGTACCATTAATAAAAATGAGGGGAAGAGAAAAAGAAGAAACATGGATTCTGAATTTGAAGAGGGTTAAGGCAATGCATGAAGTGTTGTCCGTTGTATGCGATCAATGGTTCATAATCATATACCTTGAGCAGTAACTATGATGATTCTAATATGTGAGCCGTATAATTAACAACTTTAGGAACTTACAATTTTGAAAACTTTTTCTACTTAATAAGTTTGGGTAAGGCGAATTTGTCTTATTTCAAAGTTAGAAATGCCATAAACTTTAATGAGTTTTACCTTAATATTTACAAAAAAATTATTGATGAAACAACATTAAAATAATTCAATGTTTTGTTTTACCAATTGAGCCAACTCTTGTATTTTATTTATAGAAAAAAAAAATTAGCATTGTAATGGCCACTAAAAGATTAAATAATCACTTAGACTAAGAAGTCGTTTGTTTCAGCTTTAAGAAAAAGTAACTTTTATCACTTCCTTATTTTAAAAGTACTTTTTATAAAAGTTAAAGCTATTTATATTTTTATAAAAATATTTAGTTTTTTAAAAAAAAATTTGATTTTTGACATCTACTTTTCTTAGAAGTTAAAATTTTTAGCTTCTGAAAAAAATAAGTTTTTGACTTTTTTTGTGACTTCTTCTTTTTTTGAAAGAAGACATCCAAACGAACTAAAAACACGAAAAATACTTTTTTTCTTTTAAAAAAGCAGCTTTTGAAGAAAAAAAAAGAGTTTTTGAAAAAAAAAAAACTTTAACAAAACAAAAAGTTCATTCAAACGTACCGTAAGTCTCCCTAATTGTGACTTCTCTTAACAACTTTGATCTCATTTGACTCACTTCATGGACAATTGTTGAATGACGCGCACACGAATCTGGAATTTTGAAAGATGCCTGAGGGAAGAAGTCATAAAATGCCCATTGATTGATATGACCTGCTAATGGAAATTGACGTAGATGTCCATTTAATAATAGTACAATCGGACTTAAAAAAAAAGACTGATTTTTTTTTGTTATTCTTATAAAAAAATAGAAACGGGCTTGAAATAAGATGAGCAGAAATTGATATATTGAAATTTTAAAAAATATTTATTATTTCCTTTTTTAAGTGATTAGAAACATTAAATAACAGCGCTCGTTGACAAAATTATTTATAAAAAAAATTCTTCAAAAACTATTTGTTTTTAAAGTCAATAAATGTCAATAAAAATTAAACCAAGAATACATATTCTTGGGCACACAAGAAGTTCACTCTAATAGCGTGTATTCGTTAGGGTCCCCTATTTTCTACGGTCAAGGTGTGCATTGACGATCATTTTATCTCCTGACATTGTTTTTGAAAAAAATAATTATTTTCTATTTATGTGTCATGAAACAATTTTTGAAAAAAAAAATGTGTTTGATAACATATTCTATTTTTATTCTGAGAATGAAAATTGTATTTGATAACAAACAAATAATATAATAAAAAACCATTATATTAAGCATAAATTTTTTTCATATCATCACTTTTCTTTTCATATAGCGTGATTGTGGTGGTGACAGCGGTAGCGGTGGTGATGGCATGGAGATGGTGGTGACGGCAATGACTGCGGCAATGGTCACAATGGTGGTGGCGACGGTGGCAATAGTGATGGCGATGGTGATGGTAATAGCATGGTGGTGGTGGTGGTGATGTTAATTGTGATAATGGTGGTGGTGGTGGTGATGGCGGTGGTAGCAGCAGTGGTGGTGACGGTGACAGTGGTAATGGTGGTAATGGTGGAGGTGATGGTGGCAGTGACATCGTGGTGGTGGTGGTGACGACAACGGCAACGGTGGTGGTGGTGGTGATAATGGTAGTGGTGAAGAGTGATTGAGGGAGACAAGTGTTTCTCATTTGTGCCCAGAACAAAAAAGCAGAAATTTTTTATTCTTTTTCTGTTCCCAGCATAAAAGTTAAATCGGTATATGTCGAGAACAAAAAAATAAACCGGTTTTATCAAACAAGTTTTCTATCCATTTTTTTTTACGGGAACAAAAATTACAAAAAAATGATTCCAAGAAGATTGTTATGCACACGCTAATTTTACAGATAATAAACTTTTAGGAAACAATATTTAATCCATTAATGGACAAGTGAGGAATTTGGGTAAATTTAAAAAATTCATGCCCCTAAATGAAGTTGAATATATATATATATATATATAGGGTTTAGTGTGTGTCATTCAAAAGGACACAAGTTATGTCCTTTTAGTGATTTACACAGAGTACGACCGGTCGTATTCTGTGTAATTCTGAAAAGTTACTTTTTTTCACTTTACACGTCAGTGATGTGACTGAGGAGAGAAAAAAAAAACTTTTTCAGTTTTACACAAAGTACGACCAGTCGTACTTTGTGTAAAACACCTAAAATGACACAAGCTTGTGTCATTCAAAAGGATACTTCTTTTTTCTCTCTCTCTATATATATATATATATATATATATATATATATATATATATGATCCTTTCACACTAGTGTCAAATTCAAAGTTTGACACCTCATCTGAGATCCGTTAGATCAAAAAAGATCAATGGTGTCACTTGCTTACAAATCAGAGTCGTTGATCTTTTTTTATCTAATGGCTCTCAGATGAGGTGTCAAATTTTAAATTTGATACTGGTGTCAAAAGATCATACCTCATATATATATATATAAAACTACGCTTATGTTACATGTGATAACTTTCTCTCCTACACATCTTTCGATAACTGTGCCACCTTTTTCTTTTCTTTTCTTTTTATTTTTCAGATGGTGGAGCCCACAAATTTATCTCTATGACATGAGATAACTTATCTCCTTTAACATGAGATTAATCAAACCCATATATATATATATATATATATATATATATATATATATAGGTTTATCGTTTCTCAAGTTGCTTTAAATAATTTTATCTACGGCTACTGAATCATAACTATAGGAAGAGAGAGAAAAAGAGAACCATAACCATTTAAAATTGAATCAATTAATATAAGAAAATAAATAAACAAAATGACGTAGTTTTGGGGTGACATGAGATAAACTTATCTAAGATGTCGGAAAAATATTTTTTCCTATATATATAGGGAGAGAGAGAGGAACGCTATTCTTACAACCTAAAAGTTTTACAACCTCTTGGCTCTTACAACCTATTTTTTTACCGTTGATTTTCGTCAATCGAACAATTATAATTTATTAGAATTAATAATTAATTAATAGACATGACTTAATAAATTATAATCTTTGGATTGACGAAGATCAACGGTGAAAAAATGTTATGTTGTAACAATAACGCTCCTCATATAAATATATATGAAATAAGCTATTCTATCTTTTTTTTCATACCTAACTTACCTACCAATCTTTAACCATTAAATCATAATCTCAATTAACATTTATTGTTTCTCTCTTCTTGAGATTCTCATTTGATCTTATTTTGTAACCATTGATTTTGACAATATAAAATTTAATCAATATTGTCAAAATCAAATTTCTACGTAAGTCCAAAAAGATAAAATGAGTTTACGATTCCTACCACCAAATTTAGAGAGAAGTGGAAAATGATGGCTCAGCTCGAAGAGGAAGAAGAAGGTTGATTTGAGTTATATAGCTCAGAGAAGAAAATAGTCAAAGTGGAAGAATACACATTTTGATTTAAGGAAATAGGATTTTTCTTTTGTTTTAAAATAAAATTGGATCATGTAATAAAAGTTGACCCAAGTCAATTTTTAGATCTAAATAAAAACATAAAAACTTACACTTCTACACTTTTTATGCACTATTTTTATCCATTCTTACCGAGAAATATTTTTATTTATGTTTTGACACACATGACTTCTATAAAAACGTACTTTTCTCCGTTTTTAATCTCATTTTTTACAACAGTGGATTTAGTAGCAAGACTACGACTATGAATTCAGTAACGCATGAGAAAAGTATCAGCTTTTAAATTCTAAACTCAGCATATATTATATATGATTCAAAGAAATGTCTCAACTCACTGAACTCAGCACAAGACGGTCAACCCCGTTCAAGGCCAAGCTTTTAACTTCTCAGCTACTTTTTTTTGGGTACATAAGGCCTGCTACTTTAAATATTATGTACAAAACTGGAGCTTAGTTTCTCTCTCCAAGTCCCCACATCCATTGTTAAATTAACTAGAACTCGGGTTAGATAACACAGCTGTATCAAAACATTTTGCTGGAGGAAGGATTATCAAACATAAGCAGTCACCAGATGGGGAGAAACACGTGGAAGACCACATGAGTAAGTGACATACTTGACACTATCGATAAGCACAACCACAAAAATCCGAGAGAGCGACTTTGGTGTCATCATGCCATCAACATCACCATTTCCTGCCTCTTTGGGATCAACAAGCACTGAAACCACCATAGAAGATTTATTACCATGGAGGTGGTCATTCTGCAAATTTCTTACATGTTCTTCAGTTATGTTCAGGCTGGTTCCAGCAAGTCGATCTGGGAGCCTATGGAGGATTCTTCTGTTCCTGCTCTTTTTGACAGCCGTAGCATTCTGACGATTTTTGGTAGAGATGTCAGCTACTGATGTTGCTGGAACTATAGCTCCAGGGGTTGGAGAGGCATCAAACTGAAAAACTTCGGTGCACATGCCAGAACTTAACATTGGCCCTGCATCAGAGAACCAGAACATTCAGTATACTTTCAATGTTATGCTGGCACCAAAATAGGCAAGCAGTTCCTTTAGTTTGACATGGCATAGACAACCAGCGAAAGACATTGCTTAAGCGTGATGAGAGGTTGACAACATGAACTCATCTTTCAGCTCTAATATTCGGCAGAAATACCACAGATGATGAGTGTACATTATGGCCAAAGAAAAGCCTTTTCATATATACAAGGATGAACCAAAATGCAACAAGTAGTGGACAATATTGTTAAATTAAGCACTGTTAAACCGAGCTGTCAAACTAGTTTGAGACTCCAAAGGAGTCAAATTCCTCCATCTAACCAAGTTTGGAAGACCTCTTAAAAAACTAAGGAAATTTGTTGGCTGTTGCAGAAATATTTACGAGACATAAACTTTCAATTACCAAGCAGCATGAAGAATTTGCATGAAGAATTTCTATCGAGGGAAACCAAGGAACAGCCAGAGCAAATTCAAAACAAGTTAGTTTATACAGCTTATCCGGGTAGGTTGATCATTACCAAAACTGAAAACCTTAACCTATAATATGTGCTATCAATTTGGCAAATTCAGATTAGACAGCAAAAAAGAAGTCATAAATCAGCAGAAGAGAATGTATTATTCCTACCTAGCAACCTATATAAACTAAAGACAGAATAAAAGTATAATCACCTGCAAGGCCTTCACGGAACCACTGTTGCATTGTACCATCAGTTGCAGTGGACTTCATATGGTCCTTCAAAGTTTTGGTTGAACCAGAACCAAGAGCCTTCCTCTGTTCAGGAGAAACCCTATAAACGTGTGGATGTTGACCTCTATTTCTTCCAACTTCAGGAATAGCCAATGCAGATTTAGGAATGGCCAAACCAGTTTCACTCTTGTCCTTCTTTGCCTGAGCAGTTTGAGATGCCATAGCTTTCTCACTGGCCAGAATAGAATGGATTATCAAGTTTCCATCAATCTTCACCAGCTTATCATTCCTAGGAACATACAAAGAAGCAAGAAGAGGCTCACTGCCATTGCCCTGATGAACATCTCTAGGGTCTTGCCGCGCATGCGTTTCTTCTCCAAGTTTTCGGCCTCTATCATACTCCGTTCTGTCAGAAACACTAAACCTTCCATTAGAAAATTCTAATCCCTCACCTCTTTCGGATCCATTCCTACGACCATTTACAGGCCAAACCCTGCCTCCACCCTGACCGTACAACCTATCACTAACATAGCTATACCTACCAGGAACATTGTCCACTAAACCTCCAAACTTAAAATCCACCAGAGGAAGAAGCCAACCAAAAAGCATGACAAAGAAAAGCAAACCCAACAAACTAATGCTGGCAACCTTCTTAGTTTTCACCTCAGTCTTCTTACTCTCAGACTTTTTACTCTTGGAGGCTGAAGCTGGTTGCTGAGGCTTCAATCTAGGAATGGGAACCAAAGGAACCTGAGACCCTTGAGACTTGACAACATAGGGAGCACAGGGAACCCAAGGATAACCCATAGGTGCCATGGGAGGATGAGGGTACATCCCTGGAGCTGGTGGAGGAGGAGGACACATCACACCAGCACCCAATTGCTGTCTCAGAGTAGCATTCTCAGCCATGACAAAGGAAATCCGACCACTCAGATCAGCAATTGTGGAATGCATTGACCTCACCTTCTCCTCAAGCTCCTCCACATAATGCTTCTTCCTCTGCCTCGAAAGCTGTGCACTTTCCCTATTCCTCATCAACCTGGCCTTCCTTTTATCGTCGTCGTCATCACTGGCATTGACAACAGACTCAGATTGTTGTTGGGTCTTGTTGTCCACAGGCACTGAGGACCTCCTGTACTTAATGGTTCTAGTCTCAGCATTTCCTTCACTTTGCTCTTTCTTCCTCTTCAGATCACAACCTTTACCACTTTCCTCCAACTTCACACCCTTATCCACAATTGCATGTGCATGAGACGATGAAATGTCTCTCTCGTAATGGTCAGAATCAGGTGAAGGCGAGTTCGTAGTTTCATATACACCCGACCCACCATTGCCCGAACCCTGAGACGAAACCGGTCCATTCGAAGACTCTTCCCGGTCGCAAAATTCAGACTCCGGCGATGGAAAGCTTGAAACTTTAACATCAACCGAGTTATGTGAATCCTGTTTACCTGAATTACCCTCGAAAACCGAATCCAAAGCTTGCGAATTGAAAAACCCTGAAACGCCGGAGCTTGGATTGCCGGAAACCGCAGAAGCATCTGATTCCGGCGAATCGGAATTAGCAACATGACAATCGGAAGTCTTTGGAGAAGAATCACCGCGATCGTCGTTTATCGGCGAAATTGAAGCGCCGGTAGGGTTACATGCGTCGGGAAGAAGGAAATCATCGGCGTCAGAGGGGATGCAGAGGTTGTCGAGGTCGTCGAAGGTGATCTCGAACTCTTCATTCTCGCCGAAATCCATGGCGAATTCCAGATCGGAGCCGAAGGCCTCCGAGGGCAGCGTGCTGCTGTCGAACAGAGAATCCATGGACGGGATCGGCAGATTGTCGAACTCAGCGGAGAAGTCATCGAAGCCAAGATCGGACGCCGCCGGTTCAGCGGCGAGCATTGAATCAGTCATTGATGAGGGTTTTGGAGAATGAACAAGGAAGGTTTCAAAACGACACAAACTCTGGGTTTTGGGTGTTTCGTTCTTTATTTTTGAAGTCGTGTATGGGTACGCGTGGGATCACGCGCCATGAAACCGTGTACCTGTGGATTTTGTTGGATATTGGTACTATTGGCTTTTATTTTTATTTTTATATTATTATCATTATTAAATAATAATATATTGTTTAATATATCTGGAAACTTCGTTGTTAGTGTATGCAGGGAAAGTGGTGCAAAGTGGAAACCATACTCATGAGTTTGCGTTTCCGCTACGTTCTGTTTCAACTTTTCAACTGCCGTGACGTGCGGTGTCGCGTTGTGAACTTTTTCTGGGCTTTATTTAAGAAGAACGGGCTGAGTAAGAGGTCCAGTACATAGATAATTCGCCCTTCCAGGCCCATTTAGTGGTCCGTTGACCATGGGTCAAACGACTTGTCTCTGGCACGTTGGTTTGAGTCCAAAATTAATTGAACACCTCAATGACTTTTTAAGTTTAGAAACTTCTATGGGATAAAGATAGAATTTGAGGAGTCTTAGATCGATTTTTATTTAATAAATACAAATTTTAAAAAAAAAATATGAGATTGATATAGTTTCTGAATTACTTATCAAGCTGACATATCTTAATATGGCTACATCTCCAATAGGGTGTCATGTAGCCCGCTGAGTCTCGTTGATCTACTAGTGAGACTGTCACAATGAATTATTTACTCAAATAAATACACAATTAACTTGACTAAATTATTTGATTGAGTAAATTATATATGTACTCAAGTAAATAGTTTCACATGACACTATACTCATAATTTGTTTCAAATTCCATTCTTTCTTTCACTCCTATTTATTTATTTATTTATGGGAAGTAAAACAAATAATCTATTTCGACCAGTCACCAACTCATCTCAAAATAAGTTAATTTAACTCACTCTCTACTTATAAAAGTGAGTTGAAATTCTCAATCCACCTCATTTTATGCTAGGTTAGAAGGTCAACTAAATTATATATTAAATTTCAAAAAATTTGTTGCCCTTTTCTTCCTTTATGACCTTTCCACGACGATTTTTTGGCGCCAAAATTTACTTCTTTGAAAATTAAGAAAAGAAAAGAAAACTAAACTGGAAGCTTTCAGGCACTATTTTAAACAATTTAAAAAATATATTGGAATTTTAGAAAACTTCTAGTTACGAGCATAATGCATAACACTATTTTTTTATTCGCATAATTAGTATTAACTCCAAACTTAAATTTTAAATATCTTAGAAAACCAAAGACCATGGTAGTTAAAATTCCGATTTAAATTTTAGATTTTATGATTTTTTTCAATCAAAACGATTGTATCAAAATTCCAAACGCTTTTACGATTTTACGATTTTTTACGATTTTTCTTACGTTAGGATTTTACGTTTTACAATTTTTTATCCTCCTTTCGATTTTAGGTAAATTTCCGATTTTAACTACCATGCCAAAGACTATTATTAAGAGCGTATATTGGATTGAGATTTTAATGTATTATTTTTGGATAAAAAAATCTATTGGTATTCAATTAAGATTTTAATGGATTGAAAAAAAGTCATGTCATATTCGATTAGAATTTTAAAAGATTATTTTAGAGTCTGTTCAAATCCATTGGTATTCATCAAGATTTTAAACAATGGAAAAATAATCTTGTGTTATTCAAAAATCTAACAATTTTAATGGATTTTCTATTGGTGTGGATTTCGTGAGACTTTTTAGTAAGAAATATAAATACGATGCCTCTCTTACATTCTCACCCTAACCTTAGGATTTCTTAAGATTTCTCTATTGCAATGTTTTCTTCTTCCTTTGGCAAGTTGACCTGCTCGAAATCGGGTTCCACCATTGGAGCTTCGTCAAAACTCAAAAATAGTATATTATTGAGCGATTTTCATCACAAAACAACCTAGAAACAACGAACCAACGAGATTTTAATATAATCTATCTCAAAAACAACATATTTTTGAGCCATTTTTAAAAAAATTTGGAAGTTTAAAAAATAATTTTTCAAGCTATGGATCGCAGTTTTTTTGTCACAAAAATATCTGATTTTTGTATTAAGAACAATATAAAACAGTGAAAAAAGAACAGAAGAACTAAAACCTTCAAACCAATTTTCGTTTTACATCAATGAAACAATATCAATTTAAAAAAGAATTGAAACTTTCATAATATAAACCTTATATTTCATAACAATACATTCATAACAAAATTTCTTCACTATATGAAACAATTTCAAACAATTTTTGTGTTAATAGATAACTAAAAACTTATTTTTCAAAAGCCCAAAACAATTTGAGGTTTCAATATATCGATTGAAAAAAATTTGATAACTTTTCTAAACTTTCATATAATAAAATCCATAAATTTAGATTCGAAATTGTCTTAGAATATTCAATGAAAACATGCATATGATATATCGTTAGAAAATCCTCATCACATAGAACAAAAACTCAAAGGTTTTAAAAATTAATTGCAAAAAATTTCAAACAAAATTTTATTATGAACTTTAGGTTCTATATGCAAATTTAGAATTATTTTAATAATTAAAAAATTTGATCTTAAAATCATATATGCATAGCTTTGATATCAAATGAAAAAGATAATTTTTAACCCATTGATCAAACCCAAGAGCATGAACGAGAAAATGTTAATGCATAGAGGACTAGTATAATTTTAGATATGTGAAGAGTTGTTACTTAGTAATTTTGAATGTTTGTTAAAAATTATATTATGTTTTATTGATTGAGAAAATTATATTAAGTTTTACTTTTTTTATTAATTTCATTGCATTTCTTTATTTTTTTACTAACTCTTGTAATTTTGAATATTTGTTAAAAATTCATATGATTTTTTAAAATCTTATAAATCTATATTGTCCTTTAAAATCTTTTAGAATCCAATCTTATGAAATCTTGATTGTAAAAAAAGTCTTATAAAGTTCATTCAATTTTAAATAGACTTTTAAAATCTATAAGATTTTTTATCTCAATTTTTTTTTTAAAATCCTAATTCAATATACCTCTTTAAATAAAGTTGGGGCATTAAAGTGATGGAACACTCATCAATAATGTTGCCGGATATGGAATCTCGAAGACTATTCTTAATTAACATGGTTCAAGTGTCAAATGATGGAAAATAAATGCAAAGAAAATGGCCCTTTGACCCATTGGGGTTTTTGAGGTTTTAATGTACCAATTTGGTATTTGATTCATTAGAAAAATATTTATTCAGTTACTGCATATGAGTTATTTGCATTTACTCCCAAATCGACGTTGTTTTGGGATTAAAATATTAAAAAATTATAATTATAAAGACTATAATAACCTTGAAATAAATTAAATTATAAAAACACCATGATTTTTGCCCCAAAACGACGTCGTATTGGGTTTACTGCAGATAACCTATCTGCAGTAACTGCAGAAAAACGAACCCTTGATTCATAATATTTATCAATGGGGGTTGTTGAGTGACGCGAGAGAAATCCAGCGGCACTGAGTGCCGCGAACCACCCTTTGCGTCACTCACGCATCTGCTTTTTTTTATTTTAATTTGAGTGTCGCCCCCTCCTCTAGGGAACTCATGGGATTGTGCCACGTGGCACAATTTCGTTAGTCCCGTTACCGTAAAATTTCGGAAGACAATAACTTTTGACTCGGGTATCAAAATCAAATAATTTTTTTTATTTCACATAACTTTTCGAGATCTACGCAATAACACCTCATTTGACATATTTTATCTTCCATTAATATAGTTCAAATTTGCAACAATAGTTTCACATTTTTACATATTCGAACTATGTTTGTGAGAGATAAAATATATCAAATGAGGTGTCATTGCGTAAATCTCGAAAAGTTATGTGATATAAAAAAAATCATTTGATTTGGATACCCAAGTCAAAAGTTATTGTCTTCCGAAATTTTGCGGTAACAGGACTAACGAGATTGTGCCACGTGGCACAATCCCATAAGTTCCCCAGGAAAGGGGGCGACACTCAAATGAAAAAAAAAACAAATGTGTGAGTTACGTCGGGGTTCTTCGCGGCACTCAATGCCGCTGGGTTCCCCTTCCGTCATTCAACGACCCCCATTAGTAAATATTATGAATCGAATACCAAATTGAAAAATTAAATGTGTAAAAACCCATATGGGTCAAAAAGCCCAAAGAAAACTTGTGTTGCCCAAATTGAATACTCAATAGCTATAAAAGGCCCAATGACTCGAGAAGGTTTTTTGTGGGTCTGGATCATGGTAGTCCCTCCCCAAAATAGAAAAAAGGAGGGATTGTAGAGGAAAAAATCAAAAAGATAGGAATAGAAATGAAATTTTTTTTCCATTTATGACAAAGAGACCACTGAATAAGTGGTGGGCCTGGAGCATATTAAAATTTTCCCAATGACACATGGTTTATTTATAAAAAAAATAACGGATTAACTCTTCCTGCAGCGAGTCGATTTCTTTTGGCCCACACATGTGCGGACGAGTTTAAATGGTTTAACATGTGAGAAATCTCAACCTCTTTGCGTGACGAGTTATATTTTATATAGACCTAGCCTATTGAAGCCGAAGTCTAACCTAATATAACCTAACCTATCTATTTACATCCCTATGTATGTGTATGTATATTTATAATTGTATATTTTTCTTTTTATTTTGAAATAAATAATTAATAATAATAAAATCAAAGCTATTTTTAAGTCGAATATTCTGACGGAGATAATCATGAGATTAATTTTAAGGGATCAATGTTTGTCCCTTTAAAGGATATAGAATTGTGTCATTTTATGTGAGAGAAAGAGATATATAAAAATCATGGAGGAAAAGTGAGAGGTTTTTTTTTAATTTAAATTTTAAATAAAAATATTAATTTTAACTAAAATGACCATTATTTAAAAGGATAAACATTTTTTTTCTAATTTTAAATCAAGAATAATGATAATATAAAATCCTTTGTAAAACAACCATGTAAAAATTCAAATCTTGGACATAATAGGTAAACTTTGACTGGAATTGCAATTATATAATGAGAAAAGTTATAGTTACTACCTATTTTTCTTACTATTCGTTACTACTAAAATGTAATCGTTGATTTTCGTCAATCTAACGGTTATATTTATTGAAAATTAATAAGTATGACCCAATAAATTATAACCGTTAGATTGACGAAAATCAACGGTTACGATTTAGTAGTAACAAGTAGTAAGAAAAAGAGGTAGTAACTATAATATCTCTCATATATAATAGTATAGATAGCGTAACTAAAAAACGGTTCATTGTTTCCCCTGGAAGAGATAAATGTATTTCTTACCCATGCATAAAAATTGTGAGTCAATATTTTCTCTTTCTATTCTTTCTTCTCATATTGATTCACATGAGTCCACACACTTTTATATATATGTGTCGTGGATATATTTATTTTCTATAACATAAAAAATATTAAATCCTCTAAAAAAATCCGTAAAAACATATATATTTTGGGGAATGTTATACATATCAGCATTTAAGGCTTACAACTCTCATTAGGTGATTGTTTACTATTAGATCAAATTGAAATCATTGGTTGACAAGGAGAAAAAATTAATTCAACGTTACCAATCAGATAATAAAAATGATAAGTCTAAAATGTTGATAAGTATATTCAGGCTTTTTGACCACTATAGCCTTTTTTTAATAATTAATTATCAAATTGACCTTATTTATAAACTATTTCAAAAATTTAACCTCTCCAGAAAACATAACACCAATCTGCCCCTGTTTGACCGTTGACCATGAAGCCTACCTGGGTACACCTCTACCTACCCGGGTATATTTTGAAATTTTTTATCTACCCGGGTACACCCCTCCCTACCCGGGTATATTTCTTGAATCTAGAAAAATGTTTGAATTATTTACCCGGGTAGAAAGGGGTGTACCCGGGTAAATAATCAGGGTATTGGCACCAGAATCTCAGCAAGATAAAATGAACAACATCAAACAGATCACAGTTATAAGAAATGCACCAAAACAAATGATATTAGTGGCTAGCTAGATGAGGACAACATAATCCTCAATCTGCAGAGATAATTCAGCAATTACAATGACAACACCAAGATAACCGATTCTAATGAAATATCCTTTCTCACTCAGCAAGGCCATCGGGTCCACTAACAGCAGGTTCAACAATGGCAGGTCCATTAGTAGCGAATGGACAATCTAGTCATTTAAACACATGGCAGCCCTTATTATTTATAAAAAGAAAAGACCCTTTGTAGAAAGCCATATTATTTACAAACAGTGCCAGATTATTTACCCGGGTACACCCCTTCTTATTTGGGTAAATAATTCAAATATTTTTCCAGATTCAAGAAATATACTCGGGTAGGAAGGGGTGTACCCGGGTAGGTAGGGGTGTACCCGGGTAGGTTTCATGATCAACGGTCAAACATGGGCAGATTGGTGTTATGTTTTCTGGAGATGTTAAATTTTTGAAATAGTTTATAAATAGGGTCAATGTGGTAATTAATTATTAAAAAAGGCTATAATGGTCAAAAGGCCGTATATTCACCCACATATATTTTAATATTTTTTTGGGAGATGCTATGCTTACTATTTTTTTTTTCTTATTATGAAATATTATAGTAGCATAAAATTACAACGATTAGATTAACGAAAATTAATGATTAAAATTTAGTAATAAGAAAAGAAAAGAAAAGAAAAAGTATAACCTCCCAATTTTTTAATTTTTTTTTTTTTTACATAAAGGAAAATGGCAAAAGAGTATACGTGTGGAATTCATGAGTTGTGATTGTGAGGGTGTGCAATTGTAGAAAAGGAACCGTACAGAAGAGATAATGCGGTGACCCTTTTGTATCCCATGTTTGTGTGTGTGTTCACATTGAACAAGCAAAAGGAAAGAAGAGAATTTGGGGAAATATATTATATTGTTGCCGATAGTGTTGTTCTTCCCAGGAAGACAAAGAGATAAGAGAGAGAGGTTGTCGGGTTTGGGTTGGGTTGGGTTGGGTTGTGTGTTGTAATATATCTTTGTTCTTTTTCTATGCTTTTAAGGCACAAATCCATCCCCTTCTCCTTCTCCTTCTCCTTCCCCTCTTCTTCTTCATCTTCCTCCTGACCCTTATTATTCCTTTCCCTCATCCACAGAGGGAAGGAAGGAGGAAGAACAAACCATTCTATTTATCTATTATTTTTTATTATTAGTATTTTTCATTATTATTTTCCTTGGAACCATGGATTCGATGTGTCTCTCCAACGATGCAGCTTCTGGGTTAAAAGATAAGGAGTCAATGGTTGACCCCTTTTTGGTCGAGGCTCTCCAGAACCCTCGCCATCGCCTTACCAGTTAGTCTCTTCTTAATAATCTCGTATTCTGCTCTCTCTTTTTTACTATTTGTTTGTGGGGTGATGTTGGTTTTGCTATTTCAATGTTCTATTTTCATGGGTATGCTTCAAAATTGTTGCTTGAGTTCGATTTAGCTTTGAACTGTTCGTTTTTTTTTTTTTTAAAATGATTGTTTTCCGTCGTATATGTGTGTAGGTTTTGGATTAGAATCCGTGTTTTTATTTTATTTTTGGGTTGTGGATAGGTTAATTTATGTCAGATCTGTGGTCATTTCCTGCGTTTTTGTGATAATTTGGATTGAAATTGAGACTGTGAATGTGATTTGTAACGTTGAGTTTGTTCTTTGGGAATGAAATCAATGAAACCAGATGGTAATTTTGGGGGGGGGCTGTGCTCCAATTTATCCAAATTCATTTTCATTGATTAATTTGATCCTCTAAGCTAGTTGAAGATTACATCATCATTCAAAGGATAAAACATAGGCCATGTATGTTTCCACCATATAAAATTTTAAAGGATTAACTTGGGATAAATTAGTGAAGCACCTTAATTCCTGCAAGTTCATAAATTATGTTTCACTGTAGCATTTTTCTGCTCTGAATTTTTAAAAACATGGCATCCACCATTTACTATGGATACAACCCCTTTCATGGCTCATAAAGGCTTGCCAGTCTCTTAACAGATCCATTTGCCCTTCTCCATGCAGAAACCTTGTCATGAAATTGGATTTAAGCTACACTGTGCTGGAGTAGGCCATAACCAACCATATTGCTAAGATACCCTCTATATATATCTTGCTGTTATTGGGTTTCTTAGTTCTTACCATTTACATGGAGTAGTTGAAGTATTGTTTGCTTGGATAAAATTTTTATGTTGTCACAAGCTTAAAGTAGTAGCCATTTGTGGTGGCTGGCAGTTGGATTAGGTGTGTCTTTTAGCAAAATGAATGATCTACTCTTTGATCATTATGTTCTGGCAGTAAACTCACCTCAATAGTGTTCTTTCTGACTGTATTTTGGTTATTTTCTTTCAATTTTTTCCTTGTCTGTTATTTTAAATAATGACATCGTATTTTAATTGGTTTCTACTTTGTTTACGTCTTTAGTTTTGCGGATGGAGCTGGATATCCAGAGGTTTATGAATAATGCTGATCAGCAGCATTTTGAGTTCCAACATTTCCCTTCTTCCTATCTCCGACTGGCTGCCCATCGTGTTGCTCAACACTATGGTATGCAAACAATGGTTCAAGATAATGGCTTAGATGGCCAGGGAAGTAAAATTCTGGTGAGAAAGTTACCAGAAAGCAAGTATCCTGTGGTTCGATTATCTGAGATACCTGTGAAACAGTTGGAAGATGATAAATCTGAGCAGAAAAAAATTGTCATTAGACCTAGGCCTAATAAATCTAGTTTGAATGAAGCCAATGAAGCTGGGATAAAAGGAAATCGTCTGAGAAGTGTGGAAGAGAGGAAGGAGGAATATGATAGGGCACGAGCACGTATCTTCAGTAGCTCTAGGGGCTCTGATTCAGGTGATACCCTATCCCTGGTACCAATGGATGGGAAAATTTCTTGTATGAACAAGGATGAGAACGAAACTAGCAGGAACCCCGTTGGTGATTCAGAAAGATACATTAGTGTCAGGGATATTAGCTCTACTCGAGTTGCCATTTTCAGAGATAGGGAAAAGGATCGCAGTGATCCAGATTATGATCGTAGCTATGGAAGGTGAGTTTTATCACTGTACCCAATACCCTATAGCTTTCTAGAATGACATTTCTGATATCTGGCTTGCATATGTGATATCACTCTGGATTCAAGAATTTATATAACTTGTGAAGTTTAGAGATGTGTTCTGTCTCTTCTCCTTCAATTTTTTTCTTTTTTAATTGGTAGTTGATGCGATTTGTATTGGGTTTAACTTTTAGTGTAATAGTTGGCTTATTTATCAGATGGAATCACATTATTGGTGCAGGTATGCTAGGAGTGTTCCAACCCCTGTCGTTAACTTGGTGCCTTTTAATTTGCAAAAGGCTCAACCTTCATTTGCTCAATATGACACTACTTTTAGTCAGTTAGGTCACATGTCACAAACTCAGGCATCCCTTGGCTATGGACCTCCTGCAAGCCCGATAATGAGTCCTTTTAGCCCTGCGGGATTGAATCAGACACCTAGGGATGGTGCTTACCTACAGTGGCCCAGTGCTACAATGATGTATGCACACTCATATGACCAATTTAGACATGCTGTTTTCCAGGTAAACAACACTTAATTTACTCAATTTTATTACCCTGTAAATTTGATGAGTGATTTCTGTACTAGCTTCAAAATACCAGGACATGTTAGACATAAATCTGATAACTTTATAATAAATAATTTAGTTTTCGTGGGTTAAGGCTCTTGATTGTTTGAAATGGCCTTTGCAATCTTGCAATTTCTTGTAACATACTGCTTATAGATTTGAATTGTTAGATCATTTTTATCCTCCGACTTGTACTAGTCTTATTGTGTGGGGGAGGTAAGCCTGTTTATCTGCACACTGCAGTTGTAGTTTTTCTTTTTCTTTTTTCTTTTCAAGACTTTGTATTTTGCTTTAAAATGATGGGATTTTCCTGATATATAAGCATCATGAATATTAGTTTAATGGATTTTCCCTACTTCAAGTTTGAATTTTGCTCCCTGACTATGATTAAAGAATTTTCCCTTTCATGTTTTGACTATATCTGATTTTAATTGTTCTATTATCGTGCATCTTGTATACTTTTTGCGGTTTTGCAGGCTCCATTTGGTCAACAGCCATTGAGCTTTGACTATTCACAGAACTACTAGATGACAATTAGGAGGGAGTTCTCGATTTGGATACAGAAACAGAAAGTTATGTTAGCTTTATAGGATTTTATAAATTAGTTTCGTTTTTCCGTATTCTGTCATAGACCCTTGTTCCTGTTGTGGTAGTATGTGTATGGTTTTCAGTTTTGATGGTTATAGTAAATTATTGGGTACTAGTAGTGCGACAGTTTATAAAATAGTGAATCGTAGTTGATTACCGGATTTAACATATATGATAAGGTTTATGTGATGGTTTAAGATATGCTTTGTCTAATGTTGGTGAGGCACATAGGTAAGTGCTTCTTGTTTTACGTTGTTGAAATGCATCCTACACTGAATGGATAAGGACACTATCCGTAGGCGATTAAATAATTGGCAAATCTGCTAATTTGATCAACGCTATTAATCATTTGGACTTATTGTTAATTATTGAGACTAAATTTGTCCTTGGTCTTTGGTAAGAATTAGTTTCTTATGCTTGAACAGGTTAAAAATAATGAATCATTAGCTCTTATAAAATCTTTTAGCCTTGTAATTATAGTTTTCACATCGCCTCTTTTCTACTATCCATAACCCAGCGTAATTGAGAAAAATGCAGTCAAGTATTATTAAGGGATTTAAATTTTTATCTAAACAAAATTAACGAATTAAAGTTTTATTGTTATTAGTTAAGGACTTAAATTTAATTAACAACTTTGTTAATAAAATAACGAAAGAAATTTGTTTTTTTTATTTTTAACAAAATGAAGTAATTTTTGGCTAATTTAAATTGTAGAGTAAAGCTCTTTTTGGGTTTTTAATATTTAAATTGAAAAATTAGTGCTTTTTATGTCATAGAAGATAATTTTGGACTCTTTTTCCTTTTTACATAGCTCCACACACTTATGTTTGCGGAGGAGATAAAATAACCTCCGAGAAATATTAATCTTATATATATATATATATATATATATATATATATATATATATAGGGCAAAGCTAGCGTTATGTAATAGGGAAAAAACAAAATTTTCTTGCTGAAACAAAACAATCACGGGACCCACATTTTTATAAAAAAATAAAGGGAAATATTACTTTCCTTTTTACATGAGTTAACTTATCTTATTTTCTCTCGGTTCGATTTTCGCACCCCATTTTTTTCTTTTTTTTCTTTTTTCTTGTAATGGTGGGACTTAGGGGTGTTCGCGGTCTGGATTGGATCGGTTTTGGAAGCAAAACTCATCCGATCCAATCCCTTCGGTTTGATCATGTAATCATCCATTCGGTTTAGATTTTTTTTCAAATCCGATCTGATCCAATCCAATTTTTTTCTGTTTGGATTGGATCGGTTTTCGGTTTTTTGAATATACTAAAATTAGTTTCATGATTATTGTGCAAATAACATCTTTTGTTTATATTGGCTTTGTAAAAAAATTTCTTTTGAAATACAAAAATATCAGTAAACAATACTATAGTTGATGAGACGTGACTAAGTTTTTTCTTGGGTTTAGTTGATGAGTTAATGGGTTTTGAGTTTAGAAATTTTTTGGCTATGATTAGAGAAAAGACAAGTAGGTAGATGATAATTAATATATTGGATCGGTTTGGATTGGATCGGTTTTCATCAACCCATCCGAAAACTGATCCAATCCAATTAAAATTTGCGGTTTTTTTTTCGGTTTTTGATTTTTCGGTTCGGTTTTCGCGGTTTGAATCAGCTTGGATCGGTTGATGAACACCCCTAGTGGGACTCACCCATTTTCTCTCTACCACATAAGATAACTATTATGTGGAAGGAGATTAATAAAACTCAAAAATAAAAGATAAAATAGAAAGCACGGAAATCGATCTTTTAGCTGGACAAGTTTTTGTTTTGCTGTTATATAATGCTAGCTTTTCCCATATATATATATATATATATATATATATATATATATATATATATATATATATATGAAAAGTATTTCTTCAATCATTGGAAATAAAGTTATCTCCAGCGAGTCTAAAACGACGTCGTTTTAGGTTGTAAGATTAAAAAATTATAATGATATAGACTAATATAAGCATGCAATAAATTAGAATTACAAAAACAGCTTGCTTTTCGTCACAAAATGACGTCGTTTTGTGCTCACTGGAGATAACTTATCTCCATTGACAAGAAATACTTTACCATATATATATATATATATCTGGGGAAATGTATCTAATGTTACTTTAGACAATTTTGTCTAATGTTCACCGAAACGACGTTGTTTTTTGTTGAAAAATTAAAAAGTTAGAATGATAAATACTATTATAATCCTGAAATAAATTAAAATTATAAATATACCATATCTTTCGCCTTAAAACGACGTCATTTCGGTGAACATTAGACAAAGTTGTCTAAAATAACTTTAGAAAAAATTAACCCTATATAAATTATTTGATATTTTAAAGAGTATAATTTTGTGTTATGTTAAATAAAATGATGCTGTTTTGATGCATAATTGATGAACTTTTATATTCTCTCCTCTCCATTATAAAGGAGAGAGAATGTAAAAAATCACCAAATATACATCAAAACAATATTGTTTCATTTAAAACGAGTATATATATAGGAAAAAATGTGTGTCCATTGAAAGCACACACGCTTAGGTCATTTTAGGAGAGAGGTAGACACAAAGAGGTGAGATCCATACTTTTATGTTTTTGTTTTTATTTTTTTCAATAGGACCCACACTTCTTTGTGTCTACCTCTCTCCTAAAATGATCCAAGTGTGTGTCCTTTAAAAGAAGACACATTTTTTCTACACATATATATATATATATATATATATATATATAAATAAATATATGAGATTGTATTTCGTCATGTTACATTATACAAGTTACATCATGTTATAGAGACAAAGTTGGTGGTGTCCATTGTTTAAATAAAAAATGAAAAATAAATTAAAAAGTGGACCCCACCAACTTTGTCTCTACAACATAATATAACTTGTGTCATATAACATGATGATTATATTTTCCTATATATATATATATATATATATATATATATATATATATGCACGAAAATCAACAATTATGATTTGGTTTAACACTTATTATTCTTACATCGATGTAAGATGATCCTGTCTCATATATATATATATATATATATATAACTTTAATGTTTCTAAAGTAAATGTAGATAAGTTATCTACATTCACTCCCAAAATGACGTCGTTTTGGATTAAAAAATTATAATGAAAAAGACTATTATAATCCTGGAATAAATTATAATTACAAAAATACTTTGATTTTCGTCTCAAAACGATGTCGTTTTGAGCTCAATGTAGATAAGCTATCTACATTCACTTTAAAAAAAGGAACTCTATATGTATATATATATATATATAACTTGAAGTTACGTGTGTCATGTGAGACTCTTATCTTATGTCGATTACCATGGTCCAAAATGCTTCCATTATGTATTGTCTTAGGGTTTTATTAATCTCCTTCCACATAAGATAGTTATCTTATGTGGTAGAGAGAAAATGAGTGGGTCTCACCATTGTAAGAAAAAAGAAAAAGAAGAAAAAAGTAGGGTGGGAAAATCGAAGCGAGAGAAAATGAGATAAGTTACCTTATGTAAAGGAGAGTAATATTTTCCACTGTCTTATTAGATTTTGCTCCATGCCTCCATCCGACACATAAGGTGGTCTCTAGAGTCATATTAAGTCAATATTTTTTATTTATTTTATTTTTATTTTGCGCCTTTAAGTTTTTAAAGATGGCAATAGTTGGGTTTTGAGTTAAAGTAATAATAATTGCACAACCTTATAAGATTAACTCAACTAATAAAATAGAACAATGTTAACAAAATTGTCGTGAGTTGGCTTTTTTTATTATTATCTAGATCGTGCACGTCTCGTACATAATTTTGTAACAGTAACATTTCCACTCGGGAAATGTGGATTTTATTCCATCTCATTGACTCAATAACAATTTGATTTGTCAATGAGATGATAGCGAGGTTGTCTTCCACCTTGTTTCCGCGTGATGGAATCCTGCACATTATGTTCAAGTCAGCAACCCCGTGGCCTAGTAATTCGTAAAGGTGACAAAATTTAGTTGGCCCACCCACATGTGTTATGCTCTATGAATATGAAAGTTGTTTCATTTTTATTTTTTATCAATAGAAAAATATTTCTACAACAACAGCAGATAAGTTATTTGTATTTATTTTTAAAATAAAGTCATTTTAAAATTGAAAGATTAAAAAATTATAATTATAAAGATTATAATAATCTTGGAATAAATTAAAATTACAAAAATACTATGATTTCTGCTCCAAAATAATGTCGTATTAAACTTAGTGCAAATAACTTATCCGCAGTTACTCTGCAGAAAAAACGAACCCTTTTATATCAATCATCCATCCAGTGGAGGAAACAATATACAAAACTCCATTTTTATTATTATTATTTTTTTCTATACACAAAATCCCCCTAATCCGTTCCCTGTAAAATGCACACCATCGGGTATATGGTACTGTACTCCGAACTTGAAGCTGAAATGACATTTTACCTATTCCACTACTAACTTGATGATGGGTCAGTCTTTCCTTTTCAGGTTAGTATTTTAAGATCTTACTTAAGATAGGATATTAACATGATTTGCTGATTTTATCATATGAACACATTTATAAAATAAAGAAAAAGAACATGATCACATAGTCTTGAGTCATGTCATAGCATTAGAGAATATTGATTGGTACCTAGTGCACCATGGAGATATTTAATTAGTCATAAGTGGACAAACTTCATTCGGAGTCATGATAAACACGCAACCTACAAACTACAAAGTTGGTGACGATATGAAATGAAGTGGTGGTTCTAAGTTTCTTACAGAAAAAGACTTTTGAATTTGAATGAAATGTTAAACTTTCCTCTTTCGAGAACAAAAAATTCGATTATGCCGTACCAAATCTTAAATAAAGGAAAAATTCTTTCAGAAAATTACTTTCACAAGCCCTCGTTGCAATAAAAGCAGATATTAACTAGTTGAGACTTTAGTGCACCACCATGCCAATTCTCATTGCATTTTGTATTCAGTTGGCAGCCAGAAATAACCTTATTGGTGAGCTAGTGCCTTGAGAAAAGTTTCCATTTCCAACCGGGAACAGGGCAAAAACGTTTCTTAGCATAACGGAAGAAAAAACTTTGATATTGAATGATCCATACTACTCATACGAGTTAGTATATCTTGTATCATTATCATGTTTTCTTTATGATACACGAGTGGTACAGGTGCGGCTTAAAAAGAGTAAAGGACACAGGAAACTTTAATTTGGTAAAGAAAAATGAGGAAAACCAAAAGGAGTGATGTTAGAGATGGCAGCATTATTAAAAGGCAAAATTCCTCTCATGGAGAAAAGAAAAAAAGAAATTCTTAAGTTTGCATTCTCAGATGGCTAAAGAGTCCATCCTTAGGATAATATCCACGATAGTAGTTGCTGCTTTGCTTTTTTTTTTTTTTTAAGTATATCAACCTTAATTATCTCTTCGCAACGAGTCGACCCCCAAATATCTTAACAAGCTTCTGTTGGGCTTCCTCCTGAGTTCCCAACAGCTTCAACTTCAACTCTTTGAACTGACTATAAGATTAATTCTGAATCAGGACATAGTTACAGTTAAAATTTCTCGTCCCTCCCCAAATATGAATTTGGTAAGAATCTGAATCAGGACATAGTTACAGTTAAAATTTCTCGTCCCTCCCCAAATATGAATTTGATAAGAATCGAATCCAAGTTCTTTCTCAACTCTACTCAGCCTGTGTTACCAACTGAGCTACATTTATTGGGTAGTTGTTTCTTTACTTATGAAGAAAGTATTGCTGCTCTGATTCATCATAATGAATATGGCTAATTGTTCATCAAAACTAATATATCGGCCATCAACAACAAAAGGAATCAAAGTTCAAGCACACCATGAAAGGAGAGACGGTGATTTGTTTATGGGCGTTACTAATCTCATATTGCTTGAGATAGTACTCTCATGTTACTGAGACAATTATATGGGATCCACAACTTAAAAAAAAAAGAAAAAGCTGACATAAAATTCGATTGGTGTATAATATAAGATAACTATCTCCAACGACATGAGACAAATATTTCCCTTTGTTTATAAGCATTAATGAAAATGATGTTGTCATGCTGAAGCCAGAAGCCATGTTTCTTCAAGAAAAAATGTGACAAACAAACACACAAAGAAACTCTTAAATTAAGACAGAGAACTAGAGAAGCAAAACGGCAACTCAGGGATTCTCACATACAATGAGCAGTTGAGCACATTATTTGAGTAACTTAAAAGTGATGCCGACCCTACCTGGTCATGGGGTTAACTTACCATTTTAATTTGAAATTGAAATGCTGAAAGTAAGAATTAGTTCCAACTACAATCTACATAAACAAAAACAAAGAGACTGAGCAAGATTCCAGAATGAATGACAAAATCCAATGGGTGTAGTTCAGTTGACAACACATGCTAAGCAGGTGGGGAAAGAACTTGAGTTCAATTCCCACCAAACACATTTTTGGATAGGGGCGAAAAGCTTTAACTGTAATTAAATTTCGACTCGGGATTAGTCTCATAGCTGGCTCAAAGAATTGAAGCTTGTAAGGATACCCAGGAGGCCGACTCATCTCAAAAATATAATTAGGGTTGGTATACCAAAAAAAAATACATGAGAAAGGACTAGAATCAAAACTTTCAGACTTTGCAAAGCTAAATGTAAGGTAATCATCAAAATACTACAAAAACCCCCCAATTGGTTTAACTAAAATTTAAGCTAATTATCAAAATTCTCCTACTAATCCCAACCAGTCCAACGATTCAGTTTCTCAAGAACTATTTCAATGTCAACTCAATCATGACTCTGCAAGTCCAATTACATTAAACATAACTGAAAAGAAAGCCAATGTAAACAGTTGGAACAGTATCCCTTATGCCTATAATGTGTAGTATAGCAATATACTGGTCATGAGCAAATTGATCATCAAATAGTACGACTCACTAGGAGCCTCACTACTTAGAACATGAGGGAATAGGGAATTATAGTCAAAGAAGAAATACACAACTAAGTAAACATAAACTTATTGTTTTCTTTTAAGCAACGTAAACCTACAAATTATGGAAACTAGTTTACTTGAGTTCATCTAGAATATAGAAATTAACCCCACACTGGAGTAAGATTAGAATTTTAAACGATTGCCTTACATCAGGCATTTAAGTCTTCTATAGAATCAAACAATGTACAACTCACCTCTACAGGACACAAAACTTGACACAGAGGAAACAAGTCTTTCGCAATAGAGGTTCCCGGATTTAGTGGAAGAATTCACAACCAAATGTGCTAACCAGATATGCTTCCATTAGTTTCTACCGAGTGTAATCCGTATTTATTACCACCTGCAGACATAAATACCAAGCTTGTTGCTTTTGCCACTCCTGCCATGAATGCCAATAGAAAACTTCCCAAGCAGTAACACTCTGGATCACGTTGAGCTGAAGCCGATTCCCGGACAACTATGGGATAAATCAACATAGAGGAAGTCCTAACAGCACACAACTACTAATTCACAAAAAGACTCAAAAGACATTATTGCTGTCCAAAAGTGACATCATGATGAATGTCAGTCACCAGAAGCTAAACCATATAGACTGCTACCAACAAGGTAATTACAGAATGAGTTTTCTACAGGGAGGACACCAAAGTAGAATCTCAACCAATTGATTTCAAATACTCATTATCATGAGACCCCACCTGAGTATGCCACAAAAGCATGACTGCGCTGCTGGAGCTTTTAGATCTGCAGACTTAATCTGAACTCCTATACCAATTAGTAACACCAAGATTATCAATAACCCTAACACAAATTAACAACAAAGACCCTGACCAAACTCAAATACACCACCACCACCACCAAACATTAACTTCACTTCACAAGACAACAATAAGGTGGAACTAAGGAGACCAGACAACTAGTCCACTATACTATATATATCCCAAATTCAATCATCTCCGGTTGGAAACAAAGTAAGAACCTTTCTCCCTCCTGATGCTGCGTTAGCTGATTCCATGTCCTCTACATAACCAGGTACAGGGTTGTGCACAGGTGCCCCAATCCTATGAAGCTGCTGCTGCTGAGACTGCCTAGAAAGGAAGGGATTCTCAAAGTGACCATTCGGCGGCGACCCAAAATGCCCCACCTGCCGGTGATACTGCGCCGCCGCCAACTGCTGCTGCTGTTGGTGGTGGTGGTGGTGCTGGAGGGCGGGGACAGGCACAAACGGCATGAAATGCTCGGAATTAGCCCGTGCCGCCGGGTGCAAGAAATGCGGCGGCACGGGGGAGCTCGCAAACAAGTGGTCCGTGGCGGGGTCGGCGACGGCTGCACCGCCACCTCCACCGCCGGCGCCGCCGGCTCCGGCGGAGGAAATCCCCTGCATGCGTTTGAGGTAAAGGCGATACTTTTGCAAATGGCTGGCGACGTTTTCTCTGGTTAAACCGTCAACACTCATGAGCTGCATTATGGTCTTGGGCACGGCGTTCTTGATCCCAAGGTGCGCCACGGCGTCGACGAAGCGCTTGTGGAGCTGTGGGGTCCACACGAGGCGTGGCCTCTTGAGGGTGCGGGCGGGTTCCTCGCCGGCGGTGCCGGAGCCGAGTTCGCCGGAATCGGCGAACTCGGCGGAGGTGGGTTGTGTGGGGTTGGTTGGGGAAGGGAGAGAAGAAGGGTTGGAAGGAGGTGGTGGTAGTGGTTGTTGCTGTTGTTGTTGTTGTTGTGGGTTTCTGATGTCGAAGGCCACGGCTAGATCAGGGGTGATTAGGGTTTGTGATAAGGGCATGAGTTCATCTTGGCGAGGTAGTTCCTCTTCCCATCTTGAAAACCAATTCGAATCATCTTCCCTCATTGTTTGTTCCTCAAATCTGACACACCCCACTTCCCTGTTTCCCTTCTATGCTCACTGGTTTGGACTGATTTTCAATAAAGACAAGATTTTGTGATGTGGGTGTTGAATTGAAACAAATGGGTATTCATTTTTTTTTTTTTTAATTTAACGGTTTAGGATAAAGAAAGGAAAAGCGTTGTTGGTGGTGGTGGTGGTGGCAGTGGAGGTGGAGACAGGGATTTGATTCTTTGTGAGGAGAATCTCTCTCTAGAATTTAATTGAAGGATATAGAGAGAGAAAGTGAAGGGAGGAGGATGGGTATGATAGTAGTGGTGATGTTGTTGTTGTTGGAAGAAGAGGGGTGTGTGTGTGTTTGTGTGTAGTGGTGGAGGGTGGAGAGAGGTTCGAGGTAGATCTCGTTTTCCTTTCTTTTCAGCTTTTTATTGTGGGTACTGTTCCTGATGCTTTTTTCTTATGATTTTTATGCCATTTTTTCATTTTTCCGGGTTTTGGGGGTCATCTTCTACTTGAGAGTGAGTGTTGCAAAATCTCCCAAGAGTTTTTTATTTATTTATTTTCCCCATCAAGTTATTGGTGGCGCGTTTTTCATACGCGCCTCTTTCTTCCGCCGTGAGTTGCTTCTGAAGTGATGCACATTGTGAAATTACTTTAACGACTCAAATTTGATTTTAAGATAATATTTTAAATTATATAATGTTACTCGTACAGGGTGATTTCTTGCATAGACCAATGGTTTATGGGAATTTTTATCTTTTTTCTTTCTTATATAACTAACTAATAAGTGAAAAGATTATGTCTGAGTTGGCTTATATATTTTATTAAGCTGAAAACGGTACTCCCAAAGCAAAAAGCATTTACAAGTACAGCAAATGCGTGTTTGATTGGGCCATTTGGGCCGGCAAATACAGTGGCGCGTGCATGGCAATGCTCGATAAATGAGGCTGTGGAAGGGATTTGAGTACAATAAGGATGAATTTGTACGGGCATGGGAAAGAGTTGAGATCAGGAATGAATGAGGAGAGAGAGATGCAAAGATTCTTTACTTTGTGGAATTTCTTTCTTGTTTTTGTAGATTAGGGGAATAAATTGAACTGGTGTTTGTCTTTCATGATATCTATGCTTTCAAAGTTAAAATTCGATTTGACTAAATGTGAATTGGGGGGAATATGGATATATGCACAAGGAAGCTTAATGGGTGAGATTTTATTTGGGTTTTATAATTCTCATCCAATATTAGAGTTAGAAATTTTCTACACATCCTTTAATTTTTGTGCTGATATATAGGTCTCATATATGATTTTTTTTAACATATGGATCTCATACTTTTTATCTCTATGACATAAGATTTCAATTCTCATGTAAAATGAGAATTATAAAACCTATTTTATTTCGCAATTAATTTTTTGATTTGTGTGAAAGATTTTATTATTATTGATTTTAAGTGTTTTACTTAGAAATTTAACCACGGATTTTTCAGTCACAATAACTTATTTATTAGACGCAACGCACTTATTAATTGTATCCTTTAAAAATTATTTTGTCATTAATTTAAGAGAAATATTACTTTTATGTTATAGCACAGAATTTTTCTCTTATGCATTCATAAATTAAAAAGAGAGAGAGAAGAGAGAAAAAATATAGAGTGAACTCTCACCTTTGATTTATGAATGTATTAGAGAAAATTTATTTCATGTAATATAAGAATAATATTTCTCTTAATTTAATTGGATGGAAGGAAAGAATTACACACAAGAGTGCCAAATGGAATAAAATAAAAAGTATCAATAACAACAAGGGTTACAAATTAATGGGAAAAAAAAAGGTACTAGGTCCCAACAAAGCGAAATAATAAATAAAAGAACAAAATTGAATATGTTTTGTTAGGAGTTGGAACAGAAACCATGAAATGCCCAGAAGGGAAGTGTTGAAAGTGGGATATACCTGTTGGATGCAGAAATTGATTTTATAGCACAATCACAGATTGCACTAAACAAAACTGAGAGGAAACACAAGACGCATGAAGAAGGGTTGCGGGTTTGTCTACCTATTATTAGCAATAAAAAGAGGGCACAATTATTGCCCCCTAGAAAGCGCATGTTTCCTCGTGCAGCATTTGTCAACAGTAGTGATGGACCAATTGAATCCAAGTAATATGATAGGGGCACCCCTCCCATGTGATACCCATGTTTGCACTTCAAAGTACCAATTTCATGACAGGTGTATCCCTTGTATGATTAATGTTTTAGCTTTTATGACATAAAATACCATTTCTATAGTTCTAGTAGCCTTATAATTTATTTATTTTGCCCCTCTTTCTCTGCATCGAATATTCATCAAAATACCTTTCTCTTGATATCTTATATATGCCTAAATTAGAAATGTAGAACACCCTGGCTTCATATTCCTCTATACAAAATTAGACACTTTAATAATATCTAAATTTCTCAAAATTTAAAAATTAAAATAATAAGAGATTAGTACTTTATTTCGTTGGAACAATTGTGCCCTTTTACTTCGAAGATTGAATCCAATAAAAATATAAATTTTTGTTATAGGTTAGTAAATAAATATTGAAATGATTCATGAAGAAAAGGAAAAGAATAAAAATTATTTTTGAATTCATATGACCTATAAAGATTTATATGAAATTATTTGTAAGGGTAAACATCAATCATAACTAAAAGAAATGACACGGGATAGAGAAAGAGTATTAAAAAAGCGAAAATTAATTAATCATTGGAAACTATTCTTCAATGTTTGAGTTGATTCAGTGAGTCCATCCAACAAAGATAGACTAAAAAGAAAAATCGAGCACAAAGAAATATAATAATACTAATGATGTCAACAATGCTATATAATTCGAAATTTAGCACAATCAACTTTAGAGAAGAAACTTATGAACATTTTGCTTAAAATTATGGAATGGCCAAAATATTACAAGTTTATTAAGTCTTCTACTACAAGTATTTACAGTGTTATTAAAACCGGCACGACTCGGTCGGACCGGTTGAACCGGATCACTAATTGGTTAAACATGCAACCCGATCAAAAATTAGGTTTAGTCGGTGCTAACCCGATATCGGTTTATTGGTTAAATTAATTTTTGAAAATTATAGCAAAATATTCTGGCTTTTTGACCCTTTTGCCCCTCATTAATTAATTAACAACAAATTTGCCCCTCCCCCAGAACTATCCACTATCCTGCCCTCATTTAGTCGATCAAGTTGCACTTTTAATCGACTAAATGGGCAAAATTCAGAAATCAAGAAACACGAATTTAGTCGACTAAGGCCATTATTTAGTCGACTAAATATCGCGGAAAACCCTATATCCAGACCTCTCTCGGTCTCATTTGCAATATTTTCGAAATCAAAACCCATCTTTCTCTTGTTTGTCAGCTGTGATCCTTCCATTAACCCTTCCATTTCATCCCACCATCTCTAAAGCATAGTAATTGTGAAATCATTGTCATTTCACTTATTTTCTGATTTGTTTCCCCCAAATCTGAACCCAAAATCCTAAAATCTGATTCCTACCCCCAAATTCGTGTGAAAGATGAGCTCAAGTCCAAACATGTATGTTACCATGATTTACTATGATGGAAAGCATTATGAAGGCCCCAACGGTGTTCAATTTGAAGGAAAAACGAAAATGTTGAAAGTCAAACGGGGCACTACGTACAATGAGCTTAAGGGGAGGATTCACCAAAAATTGGGGCTACAAGGCAGCCAGTGCGTTCAACGGATGATCGCCAGGGTAGAGTCTACAGTTGGTAAGGATGCTATATTCTACATTGGTAATGATATTTGTGACGATGAAGATGTGGAATGTGTCATAGATGCAATTGTGGACCGAAAATTTCAAAACTTTATTGAGATATATGTTGAAATAGACTATGGGCAATCTTCATCTGCACCTATGCATGAAAGAAGTCAAAGTCAAGAAGACAGAGTGGTCGGTTTATCTGCGTTTGCACCTGTCTTAAGTCAGATAACACTGAGGGAAATAGTCGAGGATAAGGATGAGCATGAGGAGGATATGGACAATGAAGACGATGGTGAACCCGAGAGTGTTATTCCGCTGGGTGACACCTCAGATACGGACGTAGAGGGGAATTTTGACGCTGACACTAATTCAGGAAACTTGAGTTCCCAGGTGATGTCATCACTCCGTGTTGACCCTGTTAGCAATGGTAAGATAGTAAATTAAAGTTTTAAATGAATATTTCATATTTGTGTTAACAATCGTACTGACGAAAAACTCCTGGAATTTGGACGTAGGTTCTGATATTGAGTCGTTTTGGAACGAAAGCCCACATTATTCCTTCATTAATTGGGCTCACCCTAATGATGAGACGAAGATATTGTATGGTGACGATGACTTCCACAGTGGCTGGCATTTAGGGGATCCATTATATTTGTATCAGGAGTTTCGAACTAAATCTGAAATGCAACATGCAGTCAAATTATATTGTATGAAGTCTCATCGTACTGTTGTGGTGGCAAAAAGTGATGACCACAGATTTGTGATGAAATGTCGACACCATAATGATGGTTGTCTCTGGTACGTGATGGCTATGTTGCCCAAGAATGGAAATACTTGGGTTGTTAGTAAGTGGGGTAAAGAACACACCTGCCTAAACCAAGGCCTTTTACCCGGGACCATAGACAGCTGGATTTTGATGTAATCTGTGCAGCCATTATAAATATGTATTACGCGATGTTTGGTTTAGGGTTTATGTTTACGTTAATTTTACGGTATATTTATTGACTGTGTTGACTTCGATTTTTGTATAAGTGTGTTAAAAGAAGATCCATCTCTGAAACCAGTTCTTATTCAGGAGAGGGTACAGCATTTGTATGGATACAACATATCTTATAGGAAGGCTTGGAAGGCTAAAATGAAGGCCATTGTGAAGTTGTTTGGCGACTGGGATAAATCATATGCCATCTTACCTGGTTGGCTGACCTACATGACACAGATTAATCCTGGTTCTGTGTTCAAGATTGATACGGACGAGTGTTGTGACGAACGACGTGTCTACACCGATAAGGCTGTCTTTCGCAGGGTATTTTGGACTTTTCACCAGTGCATTGAGGCTTTCAAATATTGTAAACCCATAATCCAAATTGACGGCACGCACCTGTACGGGAAATACAAAGGTACCCTCTTGATTGCTACGTCACAGGATGGTGATGGATACATTCTGCCTATTGCGTTTGCCATTGTTCCACCGGGTGAGAGATTGGATGATTGGTTGTGGTTTCTTAGCCTGATGCGTTTCCATGTCACACATAGGCATGATATATGTCTAATATCCGATCGTCACCCCAGCATCATCAGGGCTGTGAAGGATCATGCCAGTTGGCAGCCTCCATTTGCGTATCACGTGTTTTGTCTTCGTCATATTGGAAGCAACTTTAACACTAAGTTTAGGGACGTGGAACTAAAGAAAACGCTGATGAAACTAGGTAAGCTATTTTCATGAATGTGTACATGTTGTATGTAATGCTGTTTATGTATAACTCATTCAATTTGGGTTTATTTTTTGCAGGATACATGTGTTCAAAGATTCACTTTGATTTAAGATTTCAAGAATTTGTCGACAGTAACCCACAAGTAGCCTCATGGATAGATCAGATTCTCAAAGAGAAATGGTGCAGGTCTTATGATGAGGAGGGCCGAAGGTTTGGTCATATGACGACTAACCTATTTGAGTGTATCAATAAGGTCCTACGGGGTGCACGTAATTTGCCAGTAACGGCATTGGTCAAGATGACGCAAAGTAGACTTGTAGAGTATTTTGTCAAGAGGCGTGAAAAGATCCAAAAAGCAAAGGACAAAGGCTGGAGAATTGCAAAAAAGGTTGAGGACTTCTTACAAAAGAATGATCAGTTAACTGTCAGTCTCCGTGTCCGTGTTTTTGATAGAGACTTGCAGTTGTTTGAAGTTGAGGATGCCTACAATCAATCTACGCATGATGTCGGCGACATTATGAGGGTTGACTTGCTAAATCGTAAATGTCAATGTGAACGGTTCACAGCTAGACGATTTCCTTGCAGTCATGTGCTAGCAGTGTGCAAGGTTGAAAAATTGAACCACTATGACTATATCGATCCTGTGTTCTCAATTACACAAATTGAGAAGGTCTATGCTGCACATTGGTTTCCAATGGGTAGTGAGTTGATTCCAGAAATAGATGGTCCAACTATTATCCCAAATGCATATTTGATTCGTGCACAAGGGAGACCGAAGTCTTCAAGGATACAGAATGAGATGGATTGGGTTGAGTCACAACCCACAAGCAGTCAAAGTAGATGTAGCATCTGCAAGCAAATTGGTCACAATAAACGTACATGTCCTATGAGGATTAGACAAAGTTGAACCAATCATGTGCATGTATTTAAGGTCTTATGGTAGAGTTCATGTAATTCTGTTATGAATTTTTATGTTACTTTGTGTTACTGTATAACTCATTATGTTATTTGACTTTTCATGCCTATTCAAATTAGTAACATTGGTCCATATTGATAGATTGAAACTCATAACAATTATTATTATGACCCCTAAATGAATTCACCTAGTTTCGGGGAGCGTAAACAAACGGTTTCAATCAATAGGTACCCAACAATGCATACGAATGAGGTATTGACTGTTTTGTACCTGAAATTGTGTTCCCCAATTCATAATACGCTTGTACATTAGACTACAATCGGTTCCATACAAAAAGAATTCGAGGAAAACAGAATGGAGCGCCAAAACCACTGATTTAGTCGATCAACCTGAACTGGTTTAGTCGACTACACATTTAGTCGACTAAACCAGCTCAGGTTGATCGACTAAATCAGTGGTTTTGGAACCCCATTCTGTTTTCCCCTCTCTTTTTGGCATGGAACCGATTGAATACTAATGTACACGCATATTATGACTTGGGGAACACAATTTCAGGTACAAAATTGTATTGTGGTGGTTATAAACCATATATGTACATGTATTGCATAAATCTTGGTTTAGGGTACCCGAAACTTGTGTTCGTCATTTAACTCTCTTATGAGTGACTGTTCTGAATTGCATTGGACATTTTAGACCCTTTGGACTGTGATTATACCCAAATTGAAAACAAGAATGGAAAAATATCATATTCCTTCATGTGGTAAACAATAAAAATGACATAAATAAGTAAACGGTTCACAACATGATGGGAACATTAAATAGTTCAACTCCTGAACATAAAAACACATAAACTACAAATGTCAAATAAGAAGACCGAAATCAATTACATATCAACACACACTACAAACGTAAAGTAAAAAACATAAACCCTAAATCTAATCCTCCTCCTCCTCGGACGCCGTCTCCTCGTCATCCTCGTCGGACACATCAGCCCCCTGCCCTGCAACATCCTCAACCTGCTGCTGTCCTCGTCCAAGCTCTAGACGAGCAAGCCTATCTTCAACACCCTTGAACCGACCCTGTATATGTCTAAACCTTTCATTCCCTTTCTGGATGTGACCCTTCCTCCATTTTTTGTGTTTCAGCGCCATTTTTCCTATTTTCTTCAGCGTGGCGTTTATGCCCTTCATGACATCACGCAATGAAAACCCACCCTTAGGCTAAGCTATCTCCTGCTGGTCACCCTCATCATCATCGTCATCATCATCCTCCACCTCGGGCTCAACCATGTCTGCAAGTGGAGCAACATCAGGAACCTCAATATCAGCCGCGCCTGTGAACTGCCACACTCTTGTTTGTATGTTCTTTGTCATCTTGCACTGCTCCAGTAGACGCTTTCCAAACTTATGATTATACCCTGAGGTCTTCTTCAAGGTCACATTGCCCATGGGAACACCAAACTGCTCCAATATCCTCTGAACAAGACAAGCAAATGGAAGTGCACCCTTGTGTTTGACCTTATACATCATCCAACAGATGTAGTGCCTCCAGTTCACCAAAGTACCATGTCGGATAGCCCACATGATGGGAATGTCATGTTCCAACACCCTGGAATGATTGAACGCTCGCGGAAACAGAATGTGGGTGATGACATAGTGTAGTATACGGGACTCCACAGTAAGCAACCCCACCGTATAGGCAATGTGTTGCCCACATACTCTTCTCTGCTCCTGCACGGCATCACCTCGTGTATATCCTGGAAGTGTGGCGCCGCTATCTGCGTCATATTCCACAATGTCAGCAGAATCAAAGTCATACCCCAGTAACTCCAACCATACCGGAGCCGTCATGATGATCTCCACCCCAAACAAAACAGCAGCCCTTACCCTAACCCTAACCCTAACCCTAAGCTACCACATCAACCCTAGTCAATTACCCTCACATCAAACTCAACACCCTAACCCTAACCTAAAGCCACAAAACCGCAAACAACCTTCTACCATAAACAAGAAATTTAAAAAAACAGAAACCAAAGCATGGAGAAAACAAAAAAAAATCTAAACCTAAAACCAAATGCAAGTCAGAAAACGTTACCTACAATGTCAATTTCGCAAGTTGTGAACCAATGATGCTTCAATCGGACCTTCAAGGGATGAGATTCGGACTTGGTTGAAAAGAGGGGTTCTTGGAGCGAAATTAGTCGACTTGGGTTTGAAAATAACACCCTTTGCGAAATGGCTTTTTTTTTAAAAAACCTGATCCGCGATATTTAGTCGACTAAATAATGGTCTTAGTCGACTAAATGTGCTCGACATGTAGTCGATCAAGGTGAATATTTAGTCGACTAAAATTTGTGTTTCTTGATTTCTGAATTTTGCCCATTTAGTCGATTAAAAGTGCAACTTGATCGACTAAATGGGGACAGGATGGTGGATAGTTCTGGGGGAGGGGCAAATTGGTTATTAATTAATTAATGAGGGACAAAAGGGTCAAAAAGCCAAAACATTCTATCATAATTGCACTTCCATGATTCAAATTTGGCACCAACGGGAAGTGACATGCTAATCATTAAGTCAAATTACTTTGGTTGTCATATTACTTCTATTTATATATTTATTATATATTTTTACATATTTTCAATTTATATGATCCAACCAGTAGTGACCCATTGAGTTGGTACCCTAATGAGTCAATTACCAATTCTGATTTAATAAAATTGAGTATTTAGTACATTTCTTATATTTCTCATAGATCTTCAAGTCAATAAGAGTAATCTATGTGACATTACAAGTGGGGAGGGTTCACCAGGACTGAACATACATCTTGAATGGCCAAAACAAGTGTAATCTGTACATGTATTGCTCTCAGTTAATACACTGTACATTTTCCTCAAACGATGTAAGTTTATTAAACAGCTCAGTTAGTTTCTGATTTTGAATACATACTGTGTAGCAGAGACCTACAGAACTGAGTATGTTGAAAAAGGCTCACAAATATAGATAGATGGCCGAGTTCCTCAGACAACAGTACTACCCTCTCACCTTCAAAAAGTAACAATCATTGAAGCAATCACAACTTCCAAGTGAGATCAACAATCAGTACTTATACTCAAAATGTTTTCATCCTCCAGCATAAAAGGTTGACCATGATTCAGTCATGGGGTTTTCAGCACATTTTGGGCATACATGACTCCTCTGGTGGTGCAGACATTCATCCCCATGATTATGCTTCATAGCAAATAAATCCAGCCACAGGAATATGACGAACATGATACTGCACTCATGCTTTAAATAAAGGCTCAACCTAGTCAGTTTGCAGTGTACATGATCCCCATGATGAAGCTTCACACACTTTTGAACCCAGTCACTGGAATATGAGAAACAGAATAGTTCTCCGTGGACTGTGGTCATACACTTCGAGCAGTCCTTGAATGTAAAATGGCAGCTGGAATCTGATAGAGGAACAATGTGCAAGATTTTATGAACTTCCTGTTTGATCAGAGTAATTCAAAAACAAGATAGTCACGACGAAAGGTGTAAATATAATCACAGTTGATATTACAGCTGAAAGCAATAAACAAATTTCCAATTTTAAATTCCACCTTGCAGACCCCAAAAGAAACATAGTAAGATATAATCTAAACATGGCAAGCTGGAATAAGAAATGTTTACCAAATGTTGAACAAAGTAGAACCACTGTTGCACTGCATAGGATTGATTTCATCTTTTATATCACAGCAGTGAACAGCCCTTTGAAACGTTGCTGACAGCTTTTGGTAAGACTGCACTTCTGATGGCTGGACCTGTTCGATTGCCATCTTTAAATGCTTTGTTGTTATAACTGAAGCATCAAGGCTCTCCTGATAACATCACAACAAATTTTACAAATTAATACATTCTATCCTTCGAGATTGAATGGGGAATAGTTTTTCTAATATATTCTGTGACAGAACACCCATCAGAAATCAAGCTGTGACAAACCTCAATCGCTGCGATAGCTGCCTCGCGACATATTTGTGATATGTCAGCCCCAGTACAACCATCTGTGAGTCGAGCGAGCTCTTCAATGCTAACATCAGAACCACATGGAATTTTCCGTAAATGAATGCGAAATATCTCTTCTCTGTCCATCTCATTTGGAGGTCCAACATATAGCAGACGGTCAAAGCGTCCTGTAAAAGTCTTCCATCAGTTATTTGAAGCTTACTTAAGCTGTTCATACAATGATACAACTAATCCTCCTTCGTGTAGCTAGGTGTGCAATTGAGTAAGAGACACACAATAACAGAACAGAGAGAATACCTGGTCTTAATAGGGCAGGGTCAATTTTGTCTGGCCTATTTGTAGCAGCTATGACAGTGACATCAACTCTTTGATGCAGACCTAGCACAAATAAATTTTTGGTTAAACGAAAAAATATGATCCATGTCCAAGGTTTAAACAACAACTGATTTCACACAATGTCATTTTCTGGCCAATAGGTATCACACCATAGTGCCATACAAAAGTTGAATGAGCCCCACAGCAGTTTATCCTTTTTATTACATCTTAAGCATTATATATATATATATATATATATATATATATATATATATAAGCTTTATTCACATTTCACTGTTCGAGATTCATAACTAACCATCCAATTCAACAAGAAGTTGACTCATGACCCTATCTGACACTGAAACACCATCACCTTCCTTCCCACGAGTTACAGCAAGACTATCTATTTCATCAAAAAATATGATTGATGGAGCATTGGCCCTTGCTTTTGCAAACAACGATCTGACAGCCTTCTCAGATTCACCAACCCATTTACTGAAGAGTTCAGGACCCTTGACTGCTAGAAAGTTCAGCCCTGCTTCAGAAGCAACTGCACGTGCCATGAGGGTTTTGCTACAACCTGGAGGCCCAAACATCAGTATTCCTGTTGGAGGGCAAGCCCCAATACGGTCAAATGCATCACGGTACTTCTGCGGCCATTCCACTGCTTCCATCAATTGAGCTTTGACCTCCTTTTGGCCGCCAACATCTTCCCAATTAACCTTTGGAACCTCAAGGATTACCTAAGTAGACACAAAAATTTGACAACTACAGTATTATGCTTCACTTTCCTTTTTCATAAAAGATTGCTGTAAAAAATCCTGGTCTGTATAAATCTAAACAAGTTATAAGCTATAATCTTACTTGAACTGTGTTAGATATATAATACGAAATATTAAACCATGAATCAGTCTTCACTTAAAAGCTTAAGCTTTTGGTTTAAACTAGTCCTTGACATGGTATCAAGTCTTTGTGATCAAGTGGTTCAAAGTTCAATCCCTGCCTCTCCCATTCATCTAGATAGGTGGGTTCGTGTATTGTCCACCTTCACGCCCAATAAACTCGTGTGTGTGTCAGACGACGGGGGGGGGGGGGGGGGTTAGAAATGTAATATGAAATATTAAATTATTCATCTGCTGTCATGTGCCTTCACTTAAAGTAATACTCATCAGAAGGAAAATGATTATTGATAACAAAATTAACCCACCGCATAAAGTAATCATTATTTTATAGGTTTAAAATTACCCATCTAGTTACAGTAGAATGCATTGTGATCATAAGTTCCTTAACCTCAACAGTTTGTATCAAAGTGCAGACCACTGAAAATACAAAGAGATTTCATTTTATTTTTGACAAAATTCCATAGTGAACCTATACTTTGAAATTGTAGACTATTCTAATTACAACCAATAACAATTCATAGTTGAATGGAGGCATTGATTAGAGACAACAAGTAATTTCACCAGGTTATGCATTTAAGAAACTTGCGTATTTCATTATATGAAAAATGAAGAGAATTAAATAAAATTTGGGAACACCAAAATAAGCCCAAATCAATAAGGCAAATCTTGTCTGACAGGCAATATATATTTTATTAAAAACCAACTCCCAAAGTACTACTCATGGCACTAACCATACCTCTCTCATGGCACTGGGTCTTATTTTCATCTTAGCCTTCTGAAAATCTTCAAAACTTACTTTCAAAATATGCTCTTCTTCACCACTATCAGGAATTATTTCCATATTTTCAGAAGTTGTTTCCATCATGCAGGAAGGTAATACAAGACTGGAAACCGTTGAGATATCAGAAAAAGATGAAGTTGCAACACCTGAATGATCTCTCGAGTTTGTTGCACCATTCATCAGAGCAGGTTGCTCTGTTATGTTATCAGAACAAGCATCATAAGCTTTTTTATAGTTAGCATAATGTCGTAGACAAATCAAGGCTGCCTCATTGCAAAGGGCAGCAAGATCTGCACCCACAAAACCATGAGTGACTGTGGCAAGGTTTTCAATTTGTAAGTCTGAGAGAGAGTGATCCACTTCAGAGAGAAGAGTGAGCAAAATATCCAATCGTTGTTTGGGTGATGGCACACCTGCACATGGAGTTTTAAAGTTAAGCTATATGGTAAATGTGTTCTTCTGTGAAACCATTGAAGTATTAAAAACAGATCAATAGATCTCTTGCCATAAAATGCATGTTTCAGACTTACACTGTTTTACAGGCATGAGTCACTCATGCACATGCAAATCAACAACTACATGCTTGTGTGATAAATTTTGTTTCAGCTTTAAGGATCGAATTGAAGTTCTAATTTTCCCTTTCACAATTCACAGAAGACAAGAAATGTACAATAAATCACATGCTACTTGTACCCAAAAAGAAAAAAAAAAACATGTACTGCATTATATCTTTTTTACTAAATAAAAAGACAACAATATGCTACCTTGCAGATTTCTATTCCGTCACTTAATATAAAATCTCAATTTTCCCAGTCTAATAAAAAGATAACAATATAACCACCCCAGCAGATATTGCTAAATTAACTCGACACGTTGTAAAAATGGTTTTTACTCCGAGAAAGATAATGATAATGTATCATACATGCTCTTTTATACAGCACTAATAAAAATAAAAAGTAGTTATGAAAGACTTGGATATTGTTAAGCATAGTGGGCTTTTATTTAATATTGTATTTTGAGAAAGCTCCAATACCATGTTCACAGAGGGATAGAAAAAATTGTGAGGAAGCACATATAAGTATATACGCCCAAAGCCCTACATAAAGAAGCACAATTTTATTACCAAGTTACTAATCAATAGCAAGTTTGGCAATCTCCCCCATGCAAAGGGGCAGTCTTATATCAGAATAGTATCGACTAAATACCATATTACTATTAGTCAAATAATAGAAGTTTAGATAAGAAGCACCAGCATATTTTATTAATAACTTCTTTTTTTTGTTTTGTAATAAAATATTTCATTTCGAAGTTATTCCTTTAAAACTCAAGATAGCTAGTTGACATGCATCCTAGATTGATTGCGGAGAAATTGTACTCTGTCACATATCATGCAAGATAGTGCTTGATTGACTGCCCCCATTATGTTCTTGCTAGCAAATAAGTATATATTTTAAGACAATAACATACTATTCAGAGGTAGATACTAGATAGTATCTTTTTACCAATTTCAATTTCCTTGTCAAACCTTCCAGGTCGTCTGAGAGCTGGCTCAAGATGGTCAGGCCTGTTAGTGGCAGCAATTACAAGAAACCCTTCAGTTCTACTAATTCCATCCATCAGATTCAATAAGCTCCCAACCAATCTTTGAGATAGCTCTTCACCTCCTTCTTTCCTTGCAGGGGCAATTGCATCTAATTCATCAATGAATACCTGTACATAACAGTAATCCTATCGTTCAGCCATTAAGGAGAACTTTGAACATAAAAATATCAGGTTTAAAATAAGTGGGACTATTTTCAGCAAACAAAATGCAAAACCTTCAAAAAAAAATTACCATATAAGACTAGAGTATTTAAAGTTTGAAGAAATATGTCTAGATTTTACGAACATTGAACAAGAAGCAGGCCTCCTATAGGTCACACTAATTCTGGAAAGTTTCAGCAATATTGAAAAACAAATTGCCATTCATTTGACCATCTGCTTACAAAGTGTAAGTCTCCCCTCTATGTTTTGTCTAGAAGACTGTTCATGGCAGAAAAATTATAGATACAAAACAAATTTGCAATATGAGATTGCTTTTTACATTTTGCAATGACATTATTGGAGGATTCCACCATAACTTCTAGAAGTTGTAGGGGAAAAATAAGGAACTGATTCATAATAAATTTTATGATGACTTAAGCAAGTTCAAGGACTTTTAAATCAGAGAAGAAAATTAAACAAAATATGAATCATCCATAATTTTTTCCACTAAAATCCAATCAAAATTTGAAATTAAAAAACCAGGTCGCTGACAGACAAAATAATGCTTAAATTTTCATTTTATATTTATACCATTGCCTTCGAATCTCACCTATTTCCACAATTTACAACATCAGCCATCCTTGGATTATAAAACTCCTTTATTTATGACTTCTTTTGATTTGTAAACCAACTTGCCAGCAGCAAAATTCTCAAATATCTTGTGAAAATTCATAATGTTAGGTGTTTCCCTGACTCACAAATCAGTACCACATGTATTATATGAAGGACATTATGACAGGATGCTTTTTTAGAGTCTCTTCAAAAATACATTTGTTGTATCACAAATGTAAAAAGGGATATAAAAGAGACAGAAGTTAAATTACAAATTACAAATTATCAGTTCCTACATGCATATGCTAAGATTAATACTAAGGGCCTATTTGGAGCACCTGATAAAGAAGATAGGATAAGATAACTTATCATATCCTACTTTTATCTCCTGTTTGGTGGGTCAATAGGATATGATTAGCTTATCCTATTGTCTCATTTTATCCTATCCAATACATGATTTCTATCCTATGAGGGGAGCTGGGTTAGAATTCAACAGGATATGATACCAATATTGATACCCAATATATCCCCACGCTACCCAATATATTTGTATTTATTGCATCATATTTTGTTTTTTCTTTCTCCTTTCTCCTTCTACATAATCTTATCAGATTGCTAATCAGGTGCTCATCAAACACAGGACATGATAAAGGCTTATCAGCCCCATATCATATCCTACCTTTATCCTATCCTGTCCACCAAACGAGCCCTAAAACTTCAATGAAAAACTATTCTTCTTGCGTGTTATGCAACTCACGATAAACAAATACATCAATACAAGAGCATAGATTATTTAGTTCAAACACAAAATGTGAAATTACTGAAAAAGCATTCTTTTAACAAAAAATCTAACCACAGAAGGTGCAGCTTGAATGGCTGAATCAAAAACTTCATGCAATGCTTGCTCACTTTCCCCATAATATTGGGTTACAATTTCAGGTCCATCTATCGGGAAAAAATTGACCCCAGCATCATGAGCACATAATTGAGCCAGGGAAGTCTTTCCTGTACCAGGTGGACCATGAAGAAGGATTCCTCTTGTAGGTCGTAAACCAAAACTACATTTTGGAACAACAAGAAGCATAAGCATGCAAAATTGCAAGAGCACATGCATAAAAGTATGTGAGGACACATAACTATCAGAATAGAGGTAAGTACTTTTAACTATAAATTCAATCCTTGACTGGTATAAACTGATATAAATGCTTGCAACAAAAATGTGCCAACATCCATGCCTAAAATAAACTGATTATATCAAGACCAAACATACAGTTGAACTTATTCCGACAATAGAACAAAGAATTTCTGAATGATTTAATGTTCCAAAAAGAACTCCCTGTGAAACCCTAAATTGCAAGGGTAGAGGTGAGGAAATCCTTATACGCAGTTTTACCTTTGCATTTTTTCAAAGAGGTTGTTTCCACGATTCGAACAAGTGACCTTACAATTAAAAAGGAGCAATTTTACCCTTGCTCCAGACTCGCCTTCTTATATAATGTTCAAAAGGAAATGAAAAAAAGAAAGAAAAAGAACATGATTATATATGCAAATTAATTCTAATAGGAACAAGAGATACACTAGCTGAACTTCATATTTTAATAAGGTCACCGACTTTTATGAAGGGAATGCCTTTTCTCTTATAAGTAAAAACCCAATATGGTTATCCATTAGCAATAAAAATAATGATAATAACAAAAGAAAGCTCTTCATGCACAGTGAGAGTGCAAGAGTAAGATTAACTAAATGATAGTAGAAAATAACAAGAATGACTAGAGTGGAGAAGGGAATACTGAACGCATTCCTTTATATTTATATTTAATCACATTCCTTCATATTTAATCTTAGAACACTCAAACTTCTCAAAATTTTAATCTCAAAGTGTAAAATATTTAAATGCACATCCACATATTCAAGGACCTATGAAGTTCCCTGTTAGAGATATACAAAACCATTAATATAGCCTCACCCCCAGCTTAAGCTTTTTGGTTGAATTGGTTCTTTACATCCTCGGTGTCCCGGGTTCAATCCTCGTCCCCCCCTCCCCCCCCCCCCCCATTTTCTTTGTGGAATTTCTTAGCACAGGTAAGTTGGGCCTGATGCATCATCCACCTTTCAAGCCCAATGGACTCTCTTGTAAGGGGGCATGTTAGAGATATATAAAACTATTAATATAACCTCATCCATCAACTTAAACTTTTGGGTTGAATTGGTTCTTTACATTTCCAACAAACCTTTTTTTGTTGATAAAAAAAGAAAGTCATCAGAAAAGAGAAGTACAGAAGTACAGGAGCAGAGGATACTCCCTAATTGCTTCTGAAGCAAAAGGGCTAAATGCCTTCCTCCGCTGGAATATGAAATGAATTGTAGATAAACAAGTGCAGTCAAAGACACGCCTAAGGCACTGAAATGAGATGCTAGAAGGGGTTCAGCACGCCTCGTGATAGTTGATGTGCAGCCCCTACAGTGATGCGCATGCCTTTGGTGCCTTAGATGTTTCTGTCTGATTAAGTTGAGGCATGCCTTTAGTACCTCATATAAACCCCAAAAGGCCCAGCAATCCAGCTTTATAACTGTGATGCTAAATGGGTAAAATAGTCATAATGTTAAAAAATAACTAGTCGTTCTTTGGGACTCTAGCAGCAAGCAGCATATGTTTTGGTAATTTCACATTTTAATCTATGAATTTTAATATGAATGTAATACTTGAGTAGTCAGATCATATAGAAAATTAAGGCAAAATAGTAAAATATTTCATTGGTTCTTCTATTGGTAATGTTAAAACATTTCTTCAGTAAGGCCATGCACTGTTTTGCACCTCTTGCCTCAAGGTGTAAAATGCCCAAGCGCCTTTCACCTTTGACTACCTCGATATAAACTATGTTTAAGACCAAGGACAACACAGTTCTGGCCTGTATAGAGTCCAATGATAGCACTCTCTGTCCATTAAATTAAAAATTCCCAAAGAACAATGAAAAATTTGAGAGCAAGCAACCCATTTTTTTATATTTAACACCTAACATCGGAACTTCAAACAACAAGACACGGAAACAAAGAAGAAAAGGGGACATGAACACATGAACATGCGCAAATTTGATGTGGTGTATCAGCTGAAGTATTAAGACTTAAGGAAAAATAACACTTCAGAGAAGTATCGTATGCTTTTTGGAATTGGATACAGGTATAACATGATAATTCTCCCATGTTGAAGTATCAGTACTTTATAGTTACTGTTGGGCCTTTGAGCTGCACGCAACACAGATCATGTGGTGCAGCAACAAAAAGGTAAGGACCTACAACCACTGAAGAAGAATTAAGATCAAACTCTAAGTCTAAACCTTTTCCTTAGGAAATTTTGAGGAATATATCTTAACGAGACATTTACAACATGTAATTCAAATAAAGAAAATATCAAGCCTTCATCTCAAATATCGGTTTGCTGCTGGAACTTTAGTAAACAATCAACAGTCAACACTACTTAAATCCACCAAACAAAATAGAAAGATCATAATATGATGCACAGAACAACACACAATCTATGGCAGAGAAATAAATAAATAAAATCTTCAACATTAAATGCCATACTCAACAGGTCAAAATATGCAACAGACAAGACATACCTTGATAAATCATATTTTACTGAGGAAGAAATTATACCCTTTAAAAGTGTATATTCTTTAGATAGACCACCCAATTTAGAAATATTATCGCGTATGCTTGCATTAGCAACCTTGTGTTTAAGTTTCACACAAGATAAATCCCTTTGAACTGGCTCATCAGATGCTGCATTTGATGGCAGTGATAAAAATACCTTCGTTTCATAATTGACAATGAAAGCCTGATTTACATTCTCTGCTATATCAGAATCCTCAGGATATAAATTACTGCTTCCGTTCGATGGATAATGATCAGATCTGGTAACTGGCACCTTTTTAACTCCTGCCACTTGGAAAATGCACAACTCTGAAAGCATTGGGATTGGCACAATGACAAGATTCCCTAGCAGTAAACGACGAGAATATAACCATGAAGTTGCAGATGTCTGTAGTAGTTTTTTGGCACTTTCATCCCCTAATGCCTCACTAACATCACATGAAGCCACTGATTGACTATTCTGATTGGGTACACTTGATGATGAATCTTCAAATACTGGAGAAGACAAGCCACTAGCATTAGAAAACTTTGATCCATAAGAAGGTGTTCTAGGAGATGCAAAAATATCATTCTCGGATTGGACATGGGATTTCTCCTTAGACAAGGCCAATGAGGGTAAGTTATTAATTTTCAACGGTAGTCCATTTGGACAAGGAGCCAACCGAAGATACAATTCCTTGCAATTAGATATCAACAGACAATGATTTTCCGCAGAATGCAGTTCATTGCAACCATTTTCGAGACAAGATAAGGACTGTTTCTGTACTGGGTGAACAAACACACTTGTGCCTGAAGGAGGACATCCCATGGTATAAGAAAGATTTGAAGACAGACGTACTCCATTCTTCAAAACCTAGTAAATGTCATAAAATATAGGATTTTCATAAAGATAGATATATTGTTATACATCAACAACACTTTTATCTCAAAACCAATTTGGATCAGCAACGAACCCAAATGAAAAAGCAATAAACGGTGGAGGAAAAAGGAAAAAAATAATATAATAATGATAATAGTACGTAAAAAAGTACATTAGAGAGAAAGATGAATAGATAATTAATAAGATAAACACATAATCATAAAAAATAACACATACACATTAGCTTCACTGTTCATTAAATTGGAAAAATAAGATAAAAGAACAGTTTATAAGAAGAGGAAAAGAACAAAAAGGAAGGATAATAATCCTTCAAACACAGCTTATAAGAAATAAAAAATGACAAAACAAACAAGAAAAGGAAAGGAAAACATTAACCCAGGATCGCTATACGTAAGGGAAACCCTCCCAAAAGAAAGAAAGAAAACTGAGTAAGTGAATTGAACTGGATATTAGCCTATAATAACCCCCACCCAATATGGGGCAAGCCATTATCTTTTAGTCAGGGAAAGCCACTATATATCATATTTCAAGGGAGAACAATAACAGCAGCTTTAACATGCTATTTGTGTTGTTCAAGATTTGTGTTTCTTCTAATTTGTGTTTCCATTGTATAAATAAAGGGAATAGAATATTGTTTCTCATGTTCCACCAGACAATTGTCTCATGCAACATGAGAAACAATATTCCCATAAATAAAATAACAAAACTTAAATGGTTGCAACAAAAACAGTAGCCAGACACAAACCTTACTAGAAGGAAAAACCGTTGCAAGCGCAAAGTAGTTTCCTGCACTATCATCATCATCAGATGATGTCTTACCGATTTCCAATCCGTAGCACTTGGCACATTCACTAGCTAATGATTTGAGAGGAAAGCTATGCAATTGTGCACTTTTTTTGTTCCTTGAAGAAGGAATAGACACCTTCAAAACAATTAAAACGAAGAGGTGTTAAAGAAGCATAGCATATAACACCAACCATCAACGATTACCATGGTGATGATGATGGTGATTATTACCGAGACAATGTAACCCGGAGCAATAGAAGAGGCAACCATGGAAGGCTCGGAAAGCCAAATTTTACAGCCCTTTGGAAAAGGGGTAATCTCAACATCGCTGATTTCGCCGACGAACGCTGATTTTCCAATGAAAGATGGGAACTTTCTGGAAGCTTCTTCGCAGAGAGAAGCAAGTTGTTGTTCGGGTTGGCGGGTTTCAGAAGAAGGTGTATTATTGTTGGATGCAGTGGTTTCGGGATTCGACAATGATACCTTCTTCGATTGCTTCTTTTGCTTTGAACTCGAAGGCATCGTTGATGATGGATGATGAGCGTTCTTGTTCGCTTGTCAAAGCCAAATTCAAGTGTGAAAATTTTGTTCCTTAAACCTTTTTTGCTAATGCAAAAACCCTAATATGCAAAACCCTTTTAACATTAGTTTATTTGGAAATGTATTTCCTATATTGCTCATTTTTTCAAATGTTTTTTAGTTTTATAATATTATTAATTATTAATATATCGGATAGAAAATTACTAGGAAATGAAATATAAATTACTAAAAAGGTAAAAGGGGCTAATAAAGCACACACTGGAGTTTATTGTTCAATGTGAGAATTCAGTCATTGTTTATTTGGATATTGGATGAGAAACATTTTAATTGAAACATTTTAATTGAATTATTGCGTATAAAATTTTAAGAGTAAAGAACATTTTAGTTTCTCATCCGATATTATTAATTATTAATTAGGAAAAGAAAAATTAACTGACGGTTTCTCTTAAATTTAAATAATCATATTTTTTTGACTAAATAGATTTATTTTGGATTTCAGAAATATTCACAAGTCGATTTTTAAAAAAAAAAAATTAAAATAGGCTCTATGATTTTTATTGAGGACCTAAAAAGTACTTGTTCAAATTTTAACAAATAGGCTTTGAAAAATTTTATGCCATTTCCACAGATATTGTGTAAAATTAAAAAAGAAAAAAAAAAGTAGCAGTTTCAAACCGTAAACTGAAATTACAAATTGGTTACTGCTATTGATTGTAGAAACATTTTAATATGATGTGAGAACTGAGAAGAAAAGTGAGGAAAAATAGGAAGAGAAAAAAAACAAGCAACTTGTAAAGTCAATTTTGTTTTACTCAGATGCAAATAGGCTTGTAAAAAATAATACAATGCCCAATTACCACATAAAACGAGTACAAATGGACTTGTAAAAAGAAAAACATAACGAATTCTATTGCCAAATCCCTCATAAAACTGTAAAAAATCCCTCATAAAACTCTAAAAATGTTCTGGGCAAATTGAGATAGAACTTTCAGGCAGAAGAATTTTAGCAGGTGGAAGCACTGCAACAGCTCCTCTCCCAGGATCAGAGTACTTTCTGCACACAGCCTTATGCTTTCCATTCCCAACAGTGGAGTGAAAGTTCACCAATAGTTTAGCACAGTCCCTGTTTGGAACCAACAAAACCAAATATTATCCAACAATTGAATAATGGTAATAATGAATAACAATACTAAAGGATATTAGGAGGATATTTACATAAGTTCTTCTTCTGAGTAACCAGTGTGCAGCTTAAGTGTCTCATTCCAAATGGGGCTCTTGTTCAGAGTGCATCTTGCTGCAAAGACTGCTGAGGCAGCAACCATTGATGGGCAGTACTTAACTAAGGTAGCATAATGCATCACCCCCAACTCAGAGAGAAAATGAGCCATGTTTTCCAACTGGAAACAACAGTGCATAAACAAAATGAATTTCAGACAAGACATCAAAATGAGAATGAATCAAAAGGATTTGAATAAAAAAGGTCACTCTTACCGTGTGATCAGGATTTGATGCCTTGATAAAACGAACAAGGAAAACAAAAGGGGTAGGCACAGTCAAAGTCCATTCCAGCTTGCCAAGTATGATTTTCTCCATAGCCAGTACCTGTTCATGAGAGTAAGCTCTGTCTGAAAGGCAGACAAAGTCATTAACCTGCAAAAAAAGTGATTGTTATCTCAGTTTTATCTTGTTGACATTAAAGAGGCCAAACACTGATGATAGTGAAACATGCATCAAACCTCAGGGGGCCAGATTTCTTCATACTTGGCTGCCATCAGCATAGCACTGACACCAACCAATTGCAATTCCCTCTTTGGCACAGCCTTAACTGATAGGAACCGATCGATTATATTGATGGTAAGATAAAGGGTTTCAAGTGAAAGGTCAAACTTGGAGTGCACATCCATCAGCCAATCAAGCAGTATTTCTCTCATCCTTTTATTTAACTCCGGTTGGTGCTGTGTGTTCATATAGTCGAGGTGACGGCTCTCGTTCTTCATGCACACAATCACAGTAACATAATTAGAACACCATTACATTACATGCAACAAAAAGAACAGAAAAAAAAAATTAAAAAATTGAAAGAGTGACATCAAGGGAATCAATCATGTTTGATACCTCAACTTCCTTATAGAAGGTGTAGATGTCTTCAACATACTCGACTGCAGCAAGTTCATTGTCAGCATCACTAGCATCAATGTCTTCAATCTCCACCTTCGGTTTGTTTGTCAAACCGCAAGCTGCCTGAGACAAAACATATCAAGAACTTGTCAAGACACAAACAAAAGAGGCAGACAACATATAACATGGTTTAGACACACAGAAAGAAAGGGGGGGGGGGGTCTAATAATGTTTTTTATTTAGCTTTTTATCTCAACCTTGCTTCGAGCAGTGAGCACAGAAGTAAAAGCTTGTGATTTCTTCTTGGAGTTGGGATCTCCTTCCTTTTTCTTGGTCACAGACTTGTCTTTCTGGACCTTTTTTTCTGAGCTTATTTCAATGACTTCCTCAGGCTTTGGTTTTGCAGTGACTTTCTTCTGAGCCGGTTTTGGGGCTACTCTTTTAGCCATTGCAACAACTCCATCAGCAACCGCAGGAGGAGGAGGTCCAGCTACATTAGCACAAGCCTGCTTCTGCAATTTCAATAAATAAATAAATAAATAAAACAGAAAAACAATCAGAACCTGTTATGAAATTAAATTAAAAAATCAAACAAAGGAAGATATGGAACAAGCAATACTGAGAGTAATTTACCCTGTTATTCTCAGCAACTGCTGCATCTTGTGCATTTGCAAGTAGTTGGGCACGGAAACTCCTAAAAGAATCATATACAATATCAGATAAATAGGGAGAGTGAGAGAGAGAGAAGAGAGAGAGAAAGAGAGTACCTTGTGATGGGGCGATTGGGCTTGTCCTCAAGTCCTCTCACAGTGACCAAATTTCCAATATCGCCAAGTGCTTTTCGGTTCCTTCCATCTGCTGCAACGTTCTTCTTATGTTGCTTTCCTCCTCCAACGTTAGCCTCACCTATGTCATTGCAAAAACACCCCCCATTAAGAAAAAGGTTATAGCTTTCGATCTGAACACAGATTCACATACACCATGCTAAGGTTAATCCAAAAAAAAAAAAACAAAGAAGGCCCTTATTGCTAGTGGATCCTGATAAAGATTGGGGACCGGACCCGGAAAAATCCAAACTTGTCTTTGATTTTGAAAATACATGTAAAATCCCAGACAAGATATTCAATTTTGCATCTTAGTATCCATTTCCATTGTTTTTATTCAGTAATTAGATAGACATAAAAAATGGAAAAAGAAACCAACCCAGAAACTATGCTTCCCTCCCCAAATTCCAATGAATCAAACCAGAAAGATTCAAAAGAACAGACATAACTAAGTAAGAAAGAATAAAGAAAGAAACATCACATCACACTACAACAAGCCTTTACAATGATTCAAAATGACAATACCTCCTCTGGCATGTTGTGGAACGATGGGTCTTGAAGCCATTTCGAACTATTTCTGTGTCTTGAAAGTATAATGCTTCTTTTCTTCTTCTTCTTCTTGGCTCTCTTTCTCACTCTCACTCACTCTCTCTTTCTCTCTCTGTCTGCGTAGAATGGATGAATGAGAATGAAATGAGATGGGGGCAGTGAAAATCCCCTTCTCTTTTGAAGCTGAAGGAAGCGACGCTTCTCCCCCTTAACGGTCGATTTTTTTTTTCTTCTTAGCCGTTGGATCTTTTTACATTAATCTGACGCCTGAGCGTGGCTCTGGAGAATATTGTAGCCGTTGGAGATTCAAAATACTTGTTTTATTATAATATTATATAATATGTCTACATATATGTAATTATTTTTTTATAATATACAATAACTAATCAATTTATAATATAGAATTATTATTAATTTAATAAAAATTATTCATATTATTATTATTTTTCATATTATATATATTACACACAACAAAATACAACAATAAAAATGAAAATTCGAATTAAAAAAAGCAGAAATATATGGATTTTGAAAAGAAAAAAAAAGTTATGTTTTGCATTTTTTTAGAAGGAATTTTCTTAAAATTCATTAATTCAAAATTATTTTTCATTTGGATGCATAGAATGTTCAAAATCAAAGACAAGTTTCGATTTTTTTAGTTATTAATGTCTTATGATGTTTATTTACAGTTAAATATATTTTTTATGTCCATTACGATTAAATTTATTTACAATTTCAATTAATTTTTCAGTAAAAACTTATGATGTTTTGGACTTTCTGATTCTTATAATAGCCCATCTTAATTAATTAGTAAATCAAGTGTGATTAATTAATTAAGCATGTAGTAGTGAGGAAAATTAAGTATAAGTCTTAATTAAGTGAGATGGGGTCAATTCTGAGTTAAAAAGTGTACAAAGTGAAAATTAAGGGGTATAAATGGGTACACGCAAAAGTGCCCAAAATATAAAAATAAAAATGAAAATATTCCTAAAATAATATTCCAGACTTTTGGGTAAAGTTTGGTAATTAATGGAGTTGAATAGATAGATGAACCAATACCCACTTGATTCCACTTAACCTATGTTAAGTCATAAAACACAAAAAGGAACCCATTTCCCACCCCTTGCCCGTCGAACAGCCAGAGAAAGGAAGGGAGAAGAAGAAGAAGAGAGGGAGAGGGAGAGAGAACCCTAGAGTGAGCAAATCTTAACCGATTGGAGTGATTCAAAAGTCTAAACCACCTAGAATCTTCCCCTTTTTCATAATCCTAGCTTGGTTTTGAGTGGGAGTCCTTGTGGAGAGAGATATTGGCCCCCAAAGATTCGCCCCTTTTGAGAAGTGTGGGGTTTTGGGAGTTTCTACCTCCATGGAAGCTTGAGGAACGCTCATTCCTCTATTGTGTGATCATTGGTGGTAAGTTTCCACTCTCTTTCACATGATTCTTGGGGATTTGCATGAGTTTAGGGTTTATGAATAGTGAATTGGGGTTTTTATGAAATGTGATTAAATTAGCTATGTTCTAGGAAGAATGGAGCTTAGTGTATGTTATGAAAGATGCTAAGAATGGCATTTAATCGGTGAAAATGAGTTTAGATAGTTATATGACTATACTTTGAAAATTGCAAGATTAAATGCTTGATGAGTATTCTCGCAATGTTGAGTTATGGTGTGGTTGATTGGTTATTGATTGTGCCTATATGGTGGTTAGGATTGAGGCAATCGGACCAACCGTGATAGACCAACCATTGGAGCAAGGAATGGAGTTGGATTAGCTCCTTGAACTAGGTAAGTTCATACCTTGTGGTTGATGAGTTGTATAAGTAGTTGATAGTAATGAAGTATTATTGGTGCAATGTGTTGAATTGCATTACACCTTGATGTAGGTGTGTGCTGTGTAAACCATAGCTTGAAACCAAAGTTGATTGATTGTGGAACCTGATGGTGGGAACAAAGGTTGACTAAAGCTTGAGGTAAGCCTTCGGACCTTGGGTGTAATTCTCTTTATTGTTCCACCAAGCCCTGTAAGGGTAGTGGTTGTTGATAGTGCATATAAATGCAATGAAATAGTGTAATTCTTTGTTATACGTATGTGTATGCATTTGGTGTGGCATAGGATGGTGTTTCCCTATGTTGGTATGTTGCATGACGATGCATAAATCATACTTGGTAGTTAGCTGGCCAGTAGGACTATTTGCATCTGAGTTTCCTTAGGACAGCTTGAGAGCTCGAGGGATTTCTCCTTGAGATGTTATTGCACTTTGCATAGATATGTATTTACTGCATTATTATTGTTATTGCTATTACACTGATATGGAACTGTGGGGTGGAGAGATGCTCCAAGGACCCCTGATTTACTGGATATATTCGTATATCTCACCCCGTGTTGTGGGGACCCCCTTTCAGGTAAGGATGCTGCAGGAGCCACCAGTGGCAAGTGGCCATACTTGGACTAGTAGTGATGCATGAGGATCCTGTATTTTGATATTATACATGTTGTTTTGTAGCTCACATATATAGGATTGTAATTAATAAACAATTGATAGATGTATGTTCTGTTTATTTGGAATGGACTTAGCCTATGCTCATGCCTTTGGTTATCTCTTTGTTGATGGGAGCCAAGGGAGTGATCATAGTGTTTTGTAAGCTAAGTTCCATGAATTGTAATGAACATGATTTGTAATTGATGATTACTTTAAGTTCAATATATGTATGCTCATTAAGTATTGGATTGTTGAACTGGAAACTAAATTAGGTACCTAGTGCTAAATTGGGAAATGTTGAGAAAACAAAGACATCCTGTCCGGTTGACCAATTTTCATACCCAATGTGATGGAATTGGACTTTGATGCCTGTATGGAAGTTGTAGACATTTCTCTTAGCTTTCCATAGAGACCAAAATGGTGTAATTTGAGTGAGTATAGCTCAAGTTATGAGTGAAAAACCATAGGTAGGTTAAATGACCTTGTTTTGGGTCTCCCAGCCCTGTGGATGGCGCCTGGGGCGCCAGATTCACGCTTGGGGCGCCAAATTACAGAACCAGACAGTAGCATCCATGCTGAGGGTGCCACTCCCACGCTGGCGGCGCCAACTTTCTGTTTTCCCACGCTCTGGGCGTGGATCCCACGCTACGGGCACGGGGTTCTGGAGATTTTGCACCCCTTTTCTTAGAAAATGCCTAACTTTGGCTACGGTGCTCCGATTTGAGCGCGGTTTAAACCTACGCGTAGCTAATGAAAAATCCTATAACATAGTAGAAGATTGGAATCATAAAAGAAGTGTAGAATTAATTTGATAATTAAAGAGATGAAGACATTCAACGACGTATTGTCTAATATACATGGAATATAATATTAAGTTTAGTCCCATTATTTCGCAAAACAAATATGGTTATGATCACACACTTGGTTATATTAAATTCGGCACGTTTTAAAAGTAAAAATTTATCCGAAATTTAATTGAACCATGTGATTGTAACTGCGTTTAATGTCGTACGCAATGATAACAATCCGGTTCTAGAACGGGGTGTTACAATTCTTTTTTCATAATATTAAAAAAAAATCAACATTTAAGAATTTTGATTGATATTAATTTTTTTATGCACAAATGTTCATTAATTATTAGGTGAAGAAATAGAATTGTGTGCAAAGCCATCAAGAAAAGCAATCTCACAAATTAAAAAATAAAAATCAAAGTTAAAGAGTAATATTCAATTTGAAGGAAAAAAATAAATTAAAATTATTAAAAAATTATTTTAGTATTTATTGAAAATAATTATCTAACTTTATCTAATAATCAAAATTATTATAGGGATAGCAATTGGTGTAAATGGTCCATATTGGTCGACATTTGATACACTAATACATTTAACATAAACAGGACATAAATAGTGATTTGTATCAAAACATTTGACATAAATATCATCTAATTATTTTGCATATTGACACAATACTATATACTTATAATGTTAATTGACATAATAGGACATGAATAAATTATATCCTTATTTTGTTTGATCAATAACAGTTGCTGAATTACTATCATGAATGGTTACCACTCGTTTTTATAGCAGCCAACAGTAGTCAGTAAATATTCTATAATCTGGTATTTGTAATCAAGTACTATTACTTAGGGAGTAATATTTAATATAAAGAAATAAATAAATTAAAATTATTATGAAATATTTTTTTAATTTTAATTATAGGAAATAACCATAAAATTTTATTTAATAATCAAATTTATGGTAATATGAGTTGAGCCCGACGGATCAACCCGTCAAAATGGGACGGGTTGGGTTAAGGTTTTCAAACCACCAACCCACTTTCAACCCGCCCCGCCTAAAAGTAGGTCAAAACGGGTTCAACCCGCTGCGGGGCGGGTTGACTCGCCGGTTATAATTTTTTTTTTACAATTAGGTAGTATTTCATTTGTCATTAAATTTTTGTGATATCTAATTTTTTTTTTATCTTAGTACTTCCTAGAAAAATAAAGAATAATAATTTTATTTATGACAAATTTTATCTATATATGGAGACAAATGAGTTCCTAAAGAATGTTTAACAAATATTAGTATACATTTAAGATTGAGACTGAAAAAAATTAAGAGAAATGTGAAATAAAATAAAATAATATTAGAAAAATTTATAAAATATAATTTATTTTTGAATTTTTTTTTTTTAATTGGCCAGTTGGTGGGTTGACCTGCCAACCCACCATAAAACAGTGAATTCATTTTTCTAGCCCATATTTAATGGCGGGTCAATCCGTCTCGTTTTTGGCCGATTGGTGGCGGGTGGAGACCAACTCAAATTGCCACCCCTTTCCACTCATACTTATTGCTCTTTCTTAATGGTAAAAATTAGTCTTCAAGCGATTGGTCAATAGTAAGCACTGGGTTACTATCACTTGAATGGTTAAAACCTATATTTTAGTAATAAGTAATAGTCCGTGAATTGTCAATAATACAATATTTGTTGTTAATGACTCCTAATTTTTTATTGATTAATAATGTCCACTGAATACCTATCACGCTGGTTGTGGTGGTGTTATCCATTGCACTGGTAAGAGGATTGCTGGATTTTCCAAAAACTTGTTCCCACCATGTTAAGTGTCATTCATGTTTTCTGAAAACTAATGTTAAGTGTCAGCTAACTCTAATCATTCACGTTACTTATGGGCAAAGAATAATCAATTACATAACTTCATTTTATATTCTATCCGCAAGGAAGAACCAATCATCATTCCTTTTTATAATGGTGGGGCTAAGATTCCATTTGAGAACTAAAAAATTTTAAAATACTTGATGCGACTTAGCTAAAGCTCTTTACAAAAGTAATAGCTTTAATCCACATGCACGTCACACTCTTTCCTTGTCCTTTATTTTAGCATGCTAAAACAAGTTATCCCAAAAAAAAAAAAAAAAGTATGCTAAAAACATAATATGTTTTACTCTTAATCTCTTAGTGTAGCTAATTAAGTATCTTTCCTTCGTATCAAGCTTGATCCAACAAATTAAACCACGAGTTTGTAAAATATCATCCGTGGATGACAATGGAGAGATTCCCATTCTTTATATAATAAGCTTACATTTGGAACTAGTTGATCAAGGATTTGTATCACTCACAATAATTATCGGAAAATTAGTGCATAAACCTAACACATCTAAATTGAGTATATTAGACCGATATTTTTTTGATATATGTTGTTTATTATGTTATAGCTAAGCATTAAATATTATGATAGTTTTTTTTTTTGAAAATATTCCAATCGGTTCATCACTCCGTGACTAGTCCGATTCGGGGCTGGTCCAAGATTAAGGCTTTAAACCTCTTCCAAAGGTGGTACTGGAGAGGATCGAACACATGCTCACCCCCACCTGCTCAGCTCACATGCGCCAACTAAGCTACCACTATTTGGTAAATATTATGATAGTTAATCATAAAGGGTAGGTCATATTTACAAACTATACTATAGTACATACTCAAGTAGTATGTTACCTGTAGTACAAAGTGTAATTTACAAACAAAAAATTGTAAATATTTTTTTTTTAAATATTTCAACCGGTTCATCGCTTCACGACTAGTCTGATTCGGAAAGGGTCTCGGGATTAAGGCTTTAAATTTCTCGAAAAAAAAAATTGTAAATATAGCTCTGCTCTAATCATAGTGGCATAGTATATCTAACTTTTGGAATTATTCGCTAGTCATATAACATTGCACAGGCTGAATTATTCAAGGATATTGTTGATAACAAGAACAATTAATTAGAAGATTAATTGCATGAAGAAGTGCACGTTATCCATGAAAATCTATCCAGGACTTGGTTCTTTGAAATGTTTCTCTTAAGCTCTTGTTCAAAACATTTTTCAAACTTGCAACCTTTTTTGCAAGAAAATCCTTTTTCTTTTTAAAAGTAGAATAGTTTATCAGAATTAAGTGTTTGAATTACAATGTTCTCTAGGCCAGAATTTCAATTTGGAGTCTTGTATTAGACCACACAATCATGTATTCATGTGCAAGCTAACCAAAATTTGATTTTTCATTTGTTTAAAACAGTACAAATCTCCTAGTAAGTCCTCTCACCTTAACTCTTTATTTTCAAGCTTATTTATTTACTTTTGTATAGTTAGTTCATAAACTAAACGGGTTTTGCATTTGTCATGTTGCATGACAAATGTAAAGTTTTCTACACATACATCGATATTTGTGCTGCATTTTCTTTTTTTTTTTTCTTTTTTTTTTAAACATGGTGAACCCCACACTTATTGTCTCTATAGCATGACAAGAAAATTATCCTCCAACATGATACTTGTTTTTTCCCTAAACAAAAAGCAAAAATATTTACAGACTTTGAAAACCCAATTGCTGGTACACGCCTTTGTATATCATAGTACCATGCCATATATATTTCTTCTTTGATGTGCAATTACTTCCACACACATGTGGGAAGAGGAGACCAGATTTCATGAAATGGAAGCATTTTAGCAACAATGGAAGTTCATTAATTCAATAGATTTTAGGACTAAGAAAAGAATAAAGTCAAAGATTATGCTTTCTATTTTGATCTTTAAGCAATAATCCCTTCAGTTGCACATCCCCAATTAGAACTTGCTTCCCAACTAAAGGCCGCATGGCAAATTTATGAGCAAAATCATCGATAAATTTTGGTATACACCATGTTTTGAGGGTGCTTTAGATTACAACAAAACAAGCAGGAATATGCAAATTAGCCACAGTGAACAAATGAACTAATAAATGTAAAAAGTTGAGTTTGTTACAACATGATTAGGCAAATAAAAAAAAGCATGCCTAAAACAATGCAACCCAATTAGTAGAAACCCAATTACAAAGATGAAATCATATATTTCTTTAACAAAAACAAGCACACATGTATACTCACACCAAGAATCTGATAAAACTCACGTCGTTTGAAAACTCAGTCAGTTAATTTTGCTCCTACACTAGATCATCTGGCCCAGCAAGCACAACCTGTCATTTATTAGGAATAAAAAAAACCATCATCCAATTTGCATGAAGTCCAAAATGAAAGAATAAGCATGCTAAGGATCCATTTAACCAAGGAAAAGCTTGCTGAGATCTTAAAGCAAAGTGGTAACAAATCTAAACAATAAGGAGACAAGAAAGCCAGTATAGTATATGAATAAGTACATAATCAGGTAAGAGAAAGAATCATACATTGCAATCAAGAGCATATTTCCTTGCAACCATAATTGCTACATTTCTTTCTCTCTCTGATTCAAAGGTCAATACAAATGAGAGGCCCTTTCTAGCTTGCCAAAACAATGCCCTCGCTGCATTACTGACATCACCTCTAACTCCACATAGCTTTGGTTAAATAAAATGTTAGTTAAAGGGATAAAGTCAATAGAGAAATTGAAAGATGGAAAACTTTAAAATAAAAAAAAGAGTAAACACCCTTTTTGGTCCCTGACAATATCTACGAAATCCTTTTTAGTCCCTGGCAATAAAAAAGGACCAAATTGATCCTTAAAATTATGAAAAAAGGGCCACGTTAGTCCTTATGTCAACTCCTCTGTCACTAACGTGGCCCTTTTCACATACTGTAAGGGACCAATTCGGTTCTTTTTTATTGCCAGGATTAAAAAGGATTTCGTAGATATTGCCAGGGACCAAAAAGGGTGTTTACTCTAAAAAAAATAAAAAAATAATAATGGCCAATTTCCAAAATAGTACCTGCATTGATGGGGAGTAAATCTCTCTAGCTTTTGTAATCCAACCTCTACATAGTTTTATCCTCATTCTCCCCACATTAAATGAATGAGTAGAATGTGATGAGTGATCTTTTCCATTCATCTGAGAAATAACTACCTGTATAACGCCAAATACAAAAATTATTGTGCCAAAACTTTCTCTTTAGATAACCAGATAATACATCATTAAAGAGGAGAAAGTTGAAAATAGATAGTTAGATACACATAAAAAAAAATATATATACGTATTCAAAAAAAAAAAAAAAAAAAATACGTGTGGATCTAAAGAGAGTGTGGATAACATACATTAAAATCAGTATTAGATTTTCGTAAAAGTGCCTCCACATGGCTTCCAAGTCCTGAAACTGTTACAAGAAGATAGGTAGTTGTTAGCCCTTTTTACTTTTCTACTTCTGGATGCATCAATAAGTACCGTGGGGGTACAACATAACCCCAACTATGCAAGCCAAAACCAGATATCAGTTGTTGGGAAAAACAAAGGGTAAGGTCCATAATAAAACTAACCAGTTTGAATGGGATTAGATGTTAGTGTTAGTTTATTGCCATTGGAGACAATGTCGACTTGTAAGTTTCTCCCCACATCAAAAGGGTCAGGAGCATATATTGATTTGTTGGCACCTGATAAACAAAGGCAAACCAACTTTAAACAATATAATAATAATCAAGAGGGTTAATTAGCTGTTGTAGGCCAGTCAAGCAAAGAGCAGGATAAATAAATTCAAATAATATACATAGACAACAGTCGATATAATTTTACAAATACAAATAGGATTCCACCACCAGATTGGAGCCATACATCTGTGAAATTTCAGCGAAGGCATCATCACATATTTTTTATTGTCAAAGAATTAGTAGGAGTAAGAGTCCAAGGTGGCAGAAAAGCATGGTGAAAGTAAAGAAGGCAAAATTTATCCAAGTGCGTATGAAAGGAAACAATTATATTGAAGGATTCTAAAAGAATAGTTTACTTAGGTAATATTGCCTTTCCACTTTTATAGATAACTTATCCAAATTCGTACAAAAACTTATCCCAGTTATTGTATGCATATCACCAGAATAACAAAATTAAACAGAAAGAATTATTTATTATATGTCCAGCTCCTATGCAACAAGCTATGATGAAACAAAGCCTCCTTGCTTGTTCAGCTATGAATCACTGCTAACTTAAAATTTTCATTCATATCAATAGCAAGTGTCCGGGCGCCTTTGTGCATTAGGGTTTCCCCTTTTGATCAATAGCAACTAGCAAGTGCATACTTAGAACCTGTACTTCTGGTGCCAGGTATATGATGGGCCTTCAATAAAGTAACCAAGCCCATTAATTAGGAATTAGTATATATAGAGCTGTTTAGGGTGGGGTTTCTTTATGCATGAAATTAAGAAAATAGTGAATGGGGTTTTGGAAAAGGATATCTGGGGATCTCTTAAGGCCTAGGTGTTTGGCTTTGAGGGTGAGTTGAGACCTTTGATTTATCTTTTTCTGCCTTGTTATTTACTATCGTAATTGTAGAAAATCAGAATTCAAATTCAAATTTTTTTCCGTTTTTATTTCCTATTAATTAGGATTAATTGTAATTAATTAGAATTAATTGTGATTAGGTTTAGTGAGTCATAGCTGAGTCATTCTTAGCTATTTTTTCTTGTATAAATACTCCTCATTCCTCTTGTAATTCATTCAATATCAATATACAAAAACCTTTTTCAATATGGTATCAGAGCAGGTTGGTCCTGAGAAAACTCAGCCACCACAACCACCGTCAAACCGGCGGCACAACGCCGGAAAACTCAACCTCCAACCATTATTAAGGTTATTTTCCCTTCCTACAAAGTCCCAAGAGCAAAGTAAGGCTACCAATCACTGTAGAAGGCAAAATTCCAGCTTTCCACCGCCGTCAGCAGTCGTCGAAAAATTTTTCCGGCGACATTTCCGGCCAAGATCCGCACCATTCGAAACAGAAGGAGTCGATCTACAAGTTTCAAGAAGGACCATCGGATTCTGCTGAGCCACGCGCCCCCACGCGCTAGAGAAAGGACGGAGCGTCCGCCCTACGCGTTACCACACGCAGCCATGTTGATTGAAAGTAAATTTCCATCCAGCAATGTTGCTCAACAAGGTATAGCGTTCCATGTTGATAATAGTAGTCGATGGATTCTTGATTCAGGGGCTTCAGATCATATGACAGGTAATGCAACCTTATTTTGTTCTTATACCCCTTACTATCAACAATCACGAATAAGAACAGCAGATGGCAGCTTCTCTACTATTGCTGGAAAAGGATCCATTAAACTTTCTGATCACATTACTTTGAACTCAGTCCTTCATGTTCCCTCTCTTACTTGTAACCTTATCTCTATCAGCAAACTTACGTCTGAGTTACATTGTGTTGCCAAGTTTTCTGTCAATGCTTGTGTTTTCCAGGAACAGGACTCGGGACTGATGATTGGCAGTGCTAGAGAGGAAGAAGGACTTTATTATTTAGAAAAAGATTCTTGTGAAGAAAAAAAATTTGTGAACCACTCAGTATGTTTGTCTGATGATTGTAATGATGTTTTGTTGTGGCATCGTCGGTTAGGACACCCAAATTTCATTTATCTTCAGAAGTTGTTCCCAAGCTTATTTATCAATAAAAATCCCAGTTCTTTTTCTTGTGATATTTGTCAGCTTGCAAAACATTCTCGTGTTTCTTATCCTCCTAGAGTCCATCATGATTCTTCTCCCTTTACCTTGATTCATAGTGATATATGGGGTCCAGCCCGTGAAAAAAATATCTCTGGTGCTCGTTGGTTTATAACTTTCATAGATGATCACTCTAGGGTATGTTGGGTATACCTTCTAAAGGATAAGTCTGACGCTGCATCCATTTTTAAAAACTTTCATGCTATGGTTCAAACTCAGTTCCAGACCTCTATCCAAATTCTTCGAACTGACAATGGTACTGAATATTTTAATTCTGTTCTTGGAAACTATCTCAGCCAGCATGGTATTCTTCATTAAAGTTCTTGTCCTAACACCCCTCAACAAAATGGGATGGCTGAAAGAAAAAATAGACATCTCCTTGAAGTTGCTCGAGCTCTTATGTTTACCATGCATGTCCCTAAATATTTGTGGGGGGAAGCTGTCTTGACTGCAGCATACCTCATCAATCGGATGCCTTCTCGTGTCCTAAATTTTCAATCTCTTTTATCTTGTCTTACCCACACCTTTCCTTCTTTCCGGGCTCATTCTTCCCTTCCTCCCAAGTAGTTTGGCTGTGTGGCTTTTGTACATGTTCCTCCCCATCAAAGGTCCAAGCTCGATCCTAAGTCCATTAAATGTGTCTTCATAGGATATCCTCCTAACCAAAAGGGCTACAAGTGTTACTCATCTTCACTTCGTAAAGTCTTTGTTTCTATGGATGTCACATTTGATGAGAGACAATCTTTTTTTCCTTCGACTTCTCTTCAGGGGGAGTCTATTGGGGTTGATGAAGATAAGTTTTGGAAACCAAATGATTCTGTTGTTTTGCCTTTGCCGTTGGAGACAGGGGGAGTCATTATGCAAAAGACAGGGGGAGTTAATGTGTCAGATAATGGAGATCTTCCCGGGAAATGGGGAAAGTTTTACAGCAGGCGAGAATCACCTCAGGAGCCTCTAGACTGCCAGGATTCTGACTCGAGTCTTAGTTCCAGCAACACTGATACAGCCAACCTAGATGTGCTCTATTGCTCTCCGAAAATGTACTAGATCTTGTACTGCTCATCCTATTTCTCATCATATCACATATGAAAAGTTGTCCCCAGGTTTTCGTGCTTTCAACACTATGTTAGACAGTACAAAAATACCAAAAAATATCCAAGAAGCACTTGATGATCCAAAATGGAGGAATGCAGTCTTTGAAGAAATGGATGTACTCAACAAAAATGGAACTTGGGAGTCTGTAGCATTACCCAGAGGAAAGAAAACAGTAGGTTGCAAGTGGGTGTTCACAATAAAGTTTAATGCAGATAACAGCATCAACAAGTATAAGGCCAGACTGGTTGCTAAGGGATTCACTCAAACTCATGGGATAGACTATCAAGAGACATTTGCCCCTGTTGCCAAGCTTAACATTATCCGAGTTCTTTTATCACTTGCTGCAAATCTTGGTTGGCCCTTGCAACAATTAGATGTAAAGAATGCTTTCTTGAATGGTGATCTACATGAAGAAGTTTATATGGATCCACCACCTGGTTTTGAAAAAGGAGACGATTCAGTATGCAAGTTGAAAAAGTCTCTCTATGGTCTTAAACAATCTCCTAGAGAGTGGTTTGAGAAGTTTACTCAAGCTGTTAAGGGAAGAGGATTCCTCCAAGCTCAGACTGATCACACTTTATTTTTAAAACACTCTAATGGTGGTAAAATTGCTATTCTCATTGTTTATGTTGATGACATAATTGTCACAGGTAATGATTGTGAGGAGATAAGCTCTTTGAAGAAATGTTTAGCTAATCAGTTTGAACTGAAGGATCTTGGATCTCTCAAATATTTCCTAGGCATGGAAGTTGCTCGAAGTAAGGCAGGAATTTCTTTAGCTCAGAAGAAATATATTCTAGACCTGTTACAAGAAACAAGAATGCTTGGGTGCAAGCCAGCAGAGACTCCAGTTGAACCCAATATTAAATTGGGAATCGAATATGGGAAAGAAGTTGACAAAGAGCAGTATCAAAGATTGGTGGGGAAGTTGCTCTACTTATCTCACACTCGGCCTGATATTGCATTTGCAGTTAGCATGGTTAGTCAATTCATGCATTCTCCTAAGGAAAAACACCTGAGTGCAGTTTATAGAATTCTGAAGTACCTCAAAAACACCCCTGGTCGAGGATTGCTCTTTAAAAGGGGACACAAGAGGGTAATTGAAATATATACAGATACAGATTGGGCTAGCTCTGCATTGGACCGAAGATCCACTTCAGGATATTGCACCTATATATGGGGAAATCTTGTAACCTGGAGAAGTAAGAAACAAACAGTTGTTGCCCGGAGCAGTGCAGAAGCAGAATTTCGAGCTCTAGCCCATGGTATTTGTGAAGGAATTTGGTTAAGAAGACTCCTTGAGGAATTGAAGATCTCTTTTTCCCTACCTGTCAAAGTGTATTGTGATAATAAGGCTGCTGTCAGTATTGCTCAAAATCCAGTTCACCATGGCAGAACAAAACATAACATGTGGAGGTTGATCGCCACTTTATCAAAGAAAAAATAGATGATGGAAGTGTATGTATGGTGTATATTTCTACCAAAGAGCAGATTGCAGATATTCTCACTAAGGGCCTACACCGGCCAGCCTTTGAAGACTTGATTGGCAAGTTGGGAATGATCAACATTTACCTCCCAACTTGAGGGGGAGTGTAGAAAATCAGAATTCAAATTCAAATTTTTTTCCGTTTTTATTTCCTATTAATTAGGATTAATTGTAATTAATTAGAATTAATTGTGATTAGGTTTAGTGAGTCATAGCTGAGTCATTCTTAGCTATTTTTTCTTGTATAAATACTCCTCATTCCTCTTGTAATTCATTCAATATCAATATACAAAAACCTTTTTCAATAGTAATTGTCTCCAATAGAGGAGTCTGTATGGCTGATGAAGCTCTGTTTCTCTGTTGTTGTTGATGATGATGTTATTGTCAAGGAGTTATCTCCATCGTATTGTCCAGTAGTGAATTGAAGTGATTTTACTCTTATTTGCTGTCATTTGTCTGTTAAATTGAGTGGGTTCCATCAGTATATAACAATTTGTTTTGTTTATTTATTTATTTTTGGTAAATAGTTTTGTTTATTTAATTTTAGCTTATCATGTACTTACTGTTTATTTATTTTTAGCTTATGCATGTACTTACCTTCTGTGAAGTTACGCTTGGGAGCAGATATCACAAATGAGTTTTTACAGCACATGCTAGTAATTGAAGATACCAAGTTTACTCTGATAACTAAAAACAAGCCCTTGCTACTCGTATGGAAGAAAGATGAGTTGCATATTTTTTTCTGGGTCAAGAAATATTACATTTTAAAAGGCCAAAAAAATTGAAACATGTAAGTTCCTGTGTGATGTGAATTCAGGTATTCAGATATCTTTTATTCTAGCCTCATTCCCATGTCAAATGTTTTCCAAAAAATGGCCACATCCCCGTACCTGCATTTAAGCTCTATCGACTCTAAAGTTGTCAAGTAAAATGCCTGACAATCCATAAAATCAACCAATGTTTAGAGATCCTGCAGCTTGTAATCAAACATATCATCCAACTCTCCAAAAACTTAAGCTATTAGGTGAAGGTTCAAGAATAGTTTAATATCTTTAACACACTCCCTTCATGCAAGGGTTATATGGGCTTTGAAACATGGACAATTAGGAATGGAGTTAGCAAATATTGAATTCCTACTAACCACTTGGTTGAAGAGAATTTAATACCATGTCAGAAACCAAATCAACCCAAACTCTTAAGCTAATATGTGGAGGCCAAGGAATGATTTCATATCTCTAACATAGTCTCGTGCAAGAGCAGTGGAGCAGTATGGCCTTCAAATGTAGACAATGCACAGGCCTACTTTAACTTGCTTAAATTAAATTTGATCATGAAAAGTGGAGGTTCCTGAATTTGACATAAATGGTTTTACATCTCAAGTATAGATCTTTGTAAAGAATCAATTCAACCCAAAAGCTTAAGCTGTTGGGTGAGGCTACATTAATGGTTTTATATATCTCAACACGCCCCCTCACACGAGAGTCTACTGGGCTTGAAGGGTGGACAATGCACAGGTCCATCTTCTTGTGCGAAGAAAGAAATTCCACTAGAAAGAAAGTGGGGGGCGGTGAGGATCGAACCCGGTACACTGAGGCTCTGATACCATGTAAAGAACCAATTCAACCCAAAAGCTTAAGCTGTTGGGTGAGGCTACATTAATGGTTTTATATATCTCAACAATCTTCAATGGAAAACAAAATGGCTAATTTGTAACTAGGTAGATAATAAAGTCATTTAAAAACTTTCAGATTATCATACTTATCAGAATCAATTACAGATGTTACTAAAATAAACCAGTAAAAACACTAAGACATCTAAATCTTGAAATATGCTTCAAAATCAATTAAAAGAGAGGTACCTGAAATAACTTCCCTCCAGCTGCCTTCAGTTGACAAGCGATACCACTGAAATGAACATTTTGAAACCTGCAGCACTTCATCTGAGCAAGGCTGGACTCTCAGATATGAACCCAAAGCTTCAGAACCATCCAACAAATATAAATGAGATTTATTCTCCTCATCCCTCTTGCTCATTGTTAGCTGGCATGGAGGAAATGAAGTTATTGCAAGAACAGTATATTTGAGTGTATTAGCACTTAAAAGTTATTAATTTGTAGTATGTCTGGATTATAGTTTGCAAACCATGGTTTGACCCAACTGATAAGCAAATTTTTTTCACTTCCATTTAAACCATGGTTTCAGACCCAAAATCATGTTCAAGCCCAAACAAAGATGGTTTTGCCAAACATGTTATTTATGAATGAAAGTTGGCACATTATAATCCAAACATGCTATTAATGGTCAATTCATATTAGAAAAGAAGAAGGGAAACAACACAATAGAGAACAATTGAGTCAGATTTCAAATCAGCAATATGTCTATATTGACAGAAACATCATGGAAAATAAATTATATTTTTCAAACAGAAAAAATCAGATGAACTTTGCAGTCACATGCCAAATATGAGCCATGAACAGTCAAACAAATGTAACTGATCAGTATGTTAAAAATTCGACAACTAAAATTTGTAACCATTCCATCATTATCCGCATTCATCATTTTCAAGAATTATGATATTTGTAGGTACAGAGATTATAATTTCTCATTCTTAAACCAGTTTTCTATGATTTTTCCTTCCCACTGAAGTTAGGTTCAACCATCCTTACAAACTGTGGTCAAATCAAAAGAAACCAACTGAATTCAAGTTCAGTGGTTAATAGATTAGTAAGACAATTCATAATTTGCTGAAAAAAAAGGTACAAAAGAAGTGTAGGGAGAGGGGAGGTTGCCTCATTACATGGTTAGGGTAGTTCAATCTTACCAGTTGGGCCACCCCTCATTGGCAAATTTAAAAATATACTTTTGTGCAGTTGGAAAAAAGGTACAGGAATAAACTACTATTGTCCTATCACGAAAGTAAAATATAAAACTGTGCAGTCAAATCTATTCGAATTGATAATAGACTCTCTTGATAGTTAATTAAACAAGTAAAAGTAGGTATTAACAAACCTCTTTCTGAAGCTTAATTGAAAATATAGATTTTTCTCGAATTTGATCCCTTAGAGCACGAAGTTCATGTTCCATGGCCATCACCTGAAATCATCATACAATTCTCATAAAAAAAAAATAGATTTTCTCACCACTGTGAAGAATATTCAAATAGCTAGTTAATGGGAAATTAGAATCATAGAACAAAACTGCAAAAGATACCCTTCCTTAAGTTATGATGTGCCTAATTGCGCCCACGTACAGGTATATATTATCCAAAATGGTATGATGTATAGATATGGAAATTTTCATAGATTTAGGATACAGGTATAGCAGAATATATTATAAAACAATAGTAATACATTTACATACACAAAAATTAATATTAAAATGTAATATATTTTCAGATATGTTTTAGTCTATTTTGCCAATTAGAACCAAATTTCAGCCTTTAGCACATGTTTGGAAAGCTATTAGAAGCGAGAAATAATAACTTTTATTTTTCAAAAGCTCTCTTGGGAAGCTGCAACAAAGGAAGAAAAGAGAGAGAGAGAGAGATTATATTTCCTCTAAATAAGCTAATTTAAACACACAATTATATTATTTATATGCATTTCAAAACATGTTAGCATGCATTTCTAATGTTTCAAAATAAAATTTTCCCATTCTATCTGGTTTCAGGGGGAAAAAAATGGTACCCAAACATGGTGTTTTGTATGTAAGTACCCAATTCCAGTACAATATGGATATTGTAGAAAAGTGTTAATGCTTCTTGTCAAAATCTGGAAATTTATTAAAAAATCGAGTATACTGAAATTAAGTAAAAACTATCGGCTACATCAATTTTGAGGAAGCAAAAAGCAATGCACCTTGCTTGGCTGATGCAACAATTTGATTCTTCTTGCCTCTTGAACCTCTTCTACTAGTCCATCCACATCCTGACAGTGAGGAAACAGATAGTGTATACTTTACACACTCAACATAATAATAACTGCATAATTTTAATACGGCATCTTTAGAATTTTGCAAGTTCAAATATCATTACAAACTGAAGGAAGATACGACATGATATGAGAATACCATATAAATGAGCAAAGAACTACATACAATGGGTATAACAAGGTGATTAGAAAACCCAAGCTTGTGCGTTCATGCATTAGGTTTTTCAAATCTATGATACTTTGAAATTTTTGAGGCCGAGTTTGGTATTGGTGATCAATGAGGAAATGAACCCCCTCTTTTCTATCGCAAAATTATATTATTTAGCAATTCTTTCTTATAAATCGTGCATATGATTCTCTCATGCACATATAAGATTATTTTAGTGTAAAGTAATGTTTGATTATGAAAACATTAATGCAAAATTACACACGCACAGAATTGAGAAATCAAACAGCATGTAGAACCTGTGGTTTCGAAGCATGGGAAGCTTTTTCTTGTTCCTCAAGTGCCTCACCAATTCTCAGCACCACTGCCCTGGCACTTTGGATTTCAGCACAAGCAAAAGACTTCTCTTGATTAACCAACTTTTTAGCATCTTCAGAAGCCTATAGAACAAAGATGGATTCAGATTTATTTTCCAGAGAGAGAGAGAGATCAACATATTTAAATGGAAGAAGTGGAAAATTAAAACCAATTTAGAAATAATAGTACTAGTGAATAATTATCACTGTTATTGCAATATATTATAGAAGAGAATACAAATAAGAGAAAATAATTTTCAGAGTGACCAATTTCATTCCATTAGATAAAATGTGAAGGCAAAAATACATGCTTAGAGGAACCAGCGATGATTTTATGTAAGGTGACAGGGAAAGGAAAGAACCAAAGGTTCTATGAGATTTTGTCATTTTGACCTCAACCAATTTCCACAATACAATTTGTAATAGTGTATTTACGAATAATTAACAAATTTAAAGTCAAACTATGAACTGTCCAATCATTGTTTTATAATCCATAAAAAAAAAATCCAAATGAAATTTTGGAATTTGAAAGAAGCATTAATAGTTAAAATTTAGAAGCTGCTATAGTAAATCATAACTGTGTGCAGAAAGTATCAATGGAGATTATATAACCATTTACAAAAAGTTTAGTTGTCAAAGAAGACCTGTTTGAGAAAGCTTGCAAGCTGCTTCACTTCAAACTTCTCTTGAATCAACTCTCCTTCATTTTGAGTCAACTTAACAGCCAAAGCTTCCACCTGTGAGAGGAATATATTGTTAAGTGTGAACACTCAGCATTAGTAACATGAATTGAAGAAGAGGAAATAAATGAATTTTTCATGCAGTTTGAAATGGCATCCTAGAAATATGTGAATGGGGGTGGGGGAGGGGAAGGACTGAAGAAGGCATGCTCCACAGAATTACAAAAACTCAAAATCTGGAAGAATCAAATTTTGTCCAGCTATCAGACAGAATGAAATGCCATTTCAAACTTGGAACAATGTAATGCACTCAACCATGGAACACTATAAAATAACAAACCATAGAGATAGCTTTCTCCACATCCTCTTTATCTCTTCCTGCAAAATGGCCTCTTAAAGATTCTAATGCATCTCGTAGCTTTTTCAAAAGAACATGTCCCTCCAAAGATGCCACCTCTCTGAGCTTTGCCTGAATTCCATGAAAAAAAATATGCTCAGAAGTTGAGAAAAAAAATATTGGAAAAAAGAGAAACTGATGAATTGTGAATCGAAGTCAGTAACAAACTTTATTTTGACAAAGGCAATCCTGATTGACAGAAAAGACATATAATGTGAACCAGATTTTCGCATTTTTTTCCTTTATCAAACTGATGTATATTTAATAGAACTGGGGCATGTTGAATATAAATTGGATTTTTCTATTAAGGAAAGGAAAATAATCAATAGTAGACCATAACCAAGTATAATGGCAGGAACCTCATTAGACAACTTAGCAGCTGCAGCCAAGTTCTTGTCAAATTTACTGGCAAGGTCACGAACTGATATACGTTTGTGCTGTTCTGACAAATGGGAAGCTTCTTGTTCAATAACATCCTTCAAAGAAGGACCCTGGTTATCCTCAATAGGCCCTTCCAGAATTTGACTATCAGCTCCCAGTTTATATTTTGGAAAACTATTAGAAATGAAGCTCACATCAGCTGAAACTGGCGGAACAGCTTCCATTGGCATCTTGATTTCAACTTCAGGACTAATCTTTGTCATGGTGAAAATGGGTGCGGTCTGGTAAAAAAATAAATGCAATGTAGTATGAGACATTCAGTTAAGATTGTGTCGGTAATGAATCAAAAGTAAAACAAAGTATAGAAGACTCCTTTTCTTGATGAGCAACTACAATCAAACCCAGCATAGTGAAGTAAGATTGAAGGCACGTGGCATGTAATCCAAACAAGGTTAAAACATGAAAGAATCCTAACATAAAAGCTAGAAACCATGATGGAATGGGGATGGCTGATACTTATGTGATCTGTCTACTAAATACGATGCTCCTTTACAATACTAAATAAATGTTTCTTCATTTAGCTGAACCAGATTGGATAATCAAAGCTTTAGATTTTCACTCGTTTGTGTTATGCGTATGTATGCACTTTAAGATGCATCAAACACCTTTGATCCTGTGCTAAGTGTACTGACAGCAGGGTAAGGACATTCCAAATTAATGTCCACGCAAGTAGACAAGAAGAAACCATAATCAAAACCTAAGCAACATCAGTTCATCAACTGATGTTGATGATTTGGCAACCAATCAGGATTGACATTGTAGATTAAACCATCCAATTTCTGTATAAAATGATGAAAAACTTGGAGTGTTGTTACCAAAGACTAGAATTTAGAGCGAATATAGTCGGTTCAATATAAGATGAGTTTAGACTAAAACAACCATTTCATTTCATCTTCATTTTGAGTAGAAAAAAAGTGGTCGAACACACAATGTCAATTAATTCAAATATGTCCTGAAAACGGGAGAAGAGAGAGAGAGAGAGAGAGAGAGAGAGAGAGAGAGAGAGAGAGAGAGAGAGAGAGATTGAAGTATTAGTCTTGCATCTTATTAGAAGAAAATGTCGTAGTGATAGCAGTTAGCATTAGTAATAACAGTCAAAAGAAAAGATCGAATGCAATGACACAAACTAACCGGTATGTTGTGGTTGATTTCAATTACAAAACATTCATTTCCTTCCCTCTTTTAGTGATAAAAGAGGGATCAAGAGCAGTCACCATGTCAACAAGCATTCACATTACAAAACTACAGTCAAAATCATGAAACCACAGAGATCTACACAACAAAAATGAAAAATTGCAGACAACGAAGCAGGTACCTAATGCATAATTAAAAAGAGAGAGAGAGAGAGAGATGAAGTAAAAAGAATTGATAACATGAGATCAAGCCAATCTATCTCCTATGGTACTGGAAGGAAACCACTAATTACCAACTTCTCAAATGCATTTCTGAATATTAACAATATGAACCCACATTCCAAATTTCGATCCATGTAAAAAAAAAAAAACATTTTTCACTCTACTTCAATCACTAATGCAAAAAAATAAAATAAAAATAAAAAAATAGCATATTCTTACTTCTCAGCAACACTTGTACTTGAGGCCACAGAAGCAAAGGGTAGGAAAAAATAAAAAGAAAAAAACTCAAGAGAGCTAAAGTAAATTGAGTGAGAGAACAGTTGCATGCAACCAAAATGGGAATGCAGAAGAGAGAGAGAGAGAGAGAGAGAGAGAGAGAGAGAGTTGAAAGAACTCACATAATAATAACCAAAAATGGGGTGATTAAAACATAGAGCCACAGCTTATTCCTGTTCCAGCCAGGGTAAGCAAAAAGAGAAAAAGAGACAAGACAGGATTGAAGTTGAAGGATAACAACACAGAGGAAGAAGAAGAAGAATAAGGAGATGGAGAAGGAGAAGAAGAAGAATCTAAAGGGTGGCCATTAGTGTTACTTTTTGTAAAGGTTTAAAAAAAAAAAAAAAAAAAAGAAAAGGGAAAAGCTTGTTAACCTGGCTCCTTTGTCTCCCCTCCCAACGACTTGAAATCAATTTGTTTTTTCGCTAACTACATCATTGTTACCCCCCTACTCACGGTGGGGGCCACCGTCCAACACCCCACGCGCCATCCCCACCTCCTCCATCGCATGGGCCACACCTAACTACGTTTCTGCTTATAAGCGTGAGCGTGCACCCGCGCGCGTGCGCTTGGCCAAATCATCGTACCGTACCAATGTTTTTTTTTCTTTTACAGCGGTGACTGGGTGTGTTTGGCGGGGTGTCGTTCTTTTGACTTGTGTTTTCCCAACAATGACCCTGCAATTTGCTCATATTCACGCAAATGCCACCGCCAATCACATCACATGTATATACGTATAAAGAAACTAGACAATGGACGTTGGAAGTGACAAAAACAAAGCGTTCGTTTGGTTTTTTTAGTTAGCCAACTATGAAATTGAGATAGTTTAAGACTTTATCCATGTGTGACTCTTACCAGATATATAAATTCTTCACAAAAATATTCTGAAATAAATGAACATATTTTTTTTTACTGTAACATTCATGATTGAACCTCTGATGTGGGGCCATTTCTGGTAAACCAGCACACGTTAGAATGAGAAGGAATCTTAGTTTAAGCATTTTTCATATGTTTTATATTTTTTGATATTTTAATTGACTCGTCATTTTGCAATTAATTTGATTTTGGACGAGTTTTAAAATTAAAATTTTAAATTTTTTCTAAAAATAATACTGAAAATGATCAAATATATATTTTCACATTACCTGTTCAGTTCTCTGGCACCAATTGAACTACTTACCATTTGGTTGCATTTTTCATGTATTTCATATTACAATTCAAGTTATATTAAAACTTTATCAAATATTCGATTTTTAAATTTGTTTCCGATTTCAAGAGGGCATTAGAATTTTTGGGTTTTATTTTAGGGTTTGTTTTTTCTAAAGTTACTTTAGATAATTTTATCTAATGTTCATCGAAACGACGTCGTTTTGGGACGAAAATCATGGTGTTTTTGTAATTTTAATTTATTTGAAGGTTATAATAGTCTTTATCATTTTAATTTTTTAATTTCTCAACCTCAAAACGACGTCGTTTCGATAAACATTAGACAAAATTGTCTAAAGTAACATCATAAACTTTTTCCCCTTCTTTTTATTACGTGAACTTTTTTTCTACGTAGAATCGCTAGCATTATATCTCTCTATGTATAAAATAAGTATATAAAAAATTGGAAAAGTATTTCTTCAGTCACCAGAAATAAAGTTATCTCTAGTGAGCTCAAAATGACGTCGTTTTGGATTAAAAGATAAAAAAATTATAATGATAAAGACTAATATAACCATGCAATATATTATAATTATAAAAACACCTTGATTTTCGTCTCAAAACGACTTCATTTTGAGCTCACTAGAGATAACTATATTATAATAAAGTTATATTATAATTATAACTTTATTTATAAAAAAATTTCACAAAAAAATAAAATGCATTAATAGTATCCTAGCTAGTGTGGAAGGGAGAACTCTATGCATGAAAATTAAAAGCATACATGTGAGAGATAAAGGAACTACGTGAAGCTTGGTGCGATCACTGTCACGGCTGGGCCTATAACTGCGCTTAGTTGATTTGTCTATTTTTCAACGCTTTGTTATCATATGCCCTTAAATTCTGGGATTGATACTCAGAATTTATTTTTATAAAGATTACATTATTATAAAGGGAAAGTTTTCTTTCTCCGTGACTTGTTTCGACGGTGAAGGCGCACCAACTATGTGTAAAGGCTGTGGTTATAGGTGTGAATTTAATGATAGATGCAATGACTAACACGTAATCTGAAGTTTTGTGGAAAAGGGATCATGCGTGTTAAATAATCTAATTATCCAAGAGGAGATTGCCCAAAATAAATTAGTAAATGGCTTTAAGAGGTTCAGTTTCGCTACTGATACATTACTTAAAATTCTACTAAAATAAGATACAACCATATAACATTATTTATTCGAGGGAAGACAAAGATTAAATCATTTAACTTATATTTTTGTAAAACTCAATCGTGACTTAAATTAAAGTTTTATGAAAATTGCTTATTCTTCACCCATTGAGGTAGGGGTGGCAAAATATCTAGGCGGATCAGGACTATGTCGTATCAAATCTGACTCGCAAGTTAAATTGTCCAACTCATACATAACATGTTTTTTCGTGGATCAAAAATTGTATTCCGGACATGACTCGCAGCGGGTCACACATGTTGACCCACAAAAATTGAACTTGTATTTTTTTTAAATAAAACTAAAAGAGAAAATTTGAATAAAATATATAGGTTGTTTCGTGACCAGCAACGGAATATGTCAAAATTATCAAAATTTTAATTTTATTTTATCTTTTGAAAAAAAGAATTGTAGACTGACATACGAGTCATGCAGATCAACCAATGACACGATATGACTCTAGTTTGTGTCATTTATCCAAACTCGCACGTAACTCGTTTTATCTCAAAGTTCAACGCGACTTAAATTTTGACATATCGTGTCACGGGTTGAGCAACAAGTAATGACACATTATGGAGTTATGCACAAGAGCGGGGAAAGGTGGTGCTTGGAAGCAACTACATTGCTCTTTTCTTCACTAGACAAAACAATGATCATAATTTAGTATCGTGACAAAGAATCAAAATGGCTTAGGGTTCAATATATATATATAAAGAGGTATGATCTTTTGACATCAGTGTCAAATTTAAAATTTGACACCTCACCTGAGAGCCGTTAGATCAAAAAAGATCAATGGTGTCACATGCTTGCAAATCAAAGTCGTTAATCTTTTTTGATCTAACGACTCTCAGATGAGGTGTCAAAGGATCCTACCACACACACACACACACATATATATATATATATATATATATATATATATATATGGGGAGGGATCAAAGTCACCTACAGCCTCGGAAGTGATCATGACTAACATGGTTCGAACAAAGATATAGCAACACATCCAAGTGCTGCTTAGTTATAATTAATGTTAGCACTTCCTAATCCATTATGTGTATATTTTTTTAATCATAATTTATAAGCGCTTCTAGAGGAAGGAATCATTGAAATGATGGAAATGTTAGCTATATAATATACACTGGTTATTAACAGCCATTTTGGACTTATGATTTTGCAAAATGCCATATTTTCCATATATATTTGATG